CTGCCTCAGCCATGCTGGGATTATAGACTTGTGCTGTCACATCTGGCTCTGGATTCTCTCTCATATGGAGCAAAGAAATCAAACTATGAACTTAAACAATTTTACAAAAAAGGGGGGGGGGTGACAGGAATAATAGCTCAGTGGCATAGGCGCCTGCCTGGCAAGAGCAAGGTCCTGAGTTTGATCCCAGGTACCAAAAAAAAAAAAAAAAAACAAACCAAAAAACAATAAGACAAACAAACAAAAAACAGCACTCAAGAGGCTGAAGCAGGAGAACTGCCCTGAGTTCATCAGTCTGGGCTAAATAAGTGAGTTCAAGGCCAGTCTGCACTACATAAAGAGGCTGTCTAAACCAAACCAAACCATTTTTTTGAGCTCCCAAACACGGAGCTCCACTTCCAGCCCTGAGTTGCCTGTTTTGCTGATACACATTACTGTAATTACCATGGACATGTTTTCATTTTATGTGCTATTTTCCTTACTTATTTAACACTGATTTGCTAATTAGTCCAATGTCCTAATGAACGGGCACTTGGACTGTTCCCAGCTTTCCCTCTAGTGAATCACTGGACCCCTTGTGGACTCAGCACCCTCCCGCCTGTGCTGAAGCCCTAACCCTCAATATGACTAGAGCTGGGGACTCTGGGAGCTGAACAGGTTTAGATGAGGCCTGGGATGAGATCAGTGCCCCTAAGGAAGGAAGAAAGGACACCAAAGTTCCCCCTCTGCAGCCATTGAGGACACGGCAGGGTGGCGTGTGCAGGCCGAGGGGAGGGCCGTCACGTCATCCCAGATCTGCTGATGCCTTGATCCTGGATTCCCCAGCCTCCAGCAGTGTGAGAAGCCACTATTGTCATTACCATTTGTGGGGTTCCTTTCATTAAGTCAGCCAAAGTGATCGCATAGAAGATCCCCAGGTGAAAGGAGCAAATATCTGTCTCTCTGCCACCTGTCAGTGAGAACAGAATGCCAAACAGTGTCTTAGGCTAACAGGACAGATGATGGAAGGGGCTCACCTGGTGCTCCCCAACAATCCTGGGACTCTGCAGCTTCCAGGGGGCACCCCAGTGGCTACAAGGTGGGTGAAGACAGAGGGTGACTTCACAGTGATCGGGCTGAGGAGCCAGATGGACAGACAGACAAATGGACAGACTGATGGAGGCCGTGCAGCCAGCAGACCAATACCACTCGGGGTCAGAAAACCCAGCCCTTCTCGAGAAATGCCCTCCTCCATTTCCCCAGGGCTGTGCCTTATCTGCACCGTGAAAACTGCCACACCTGAGGAGAAGGCGGAAGCATGGCACTCGATCACTCCACACCCCTGAGCCTGGCTCTGGCGGCTCTGCTCTCCCCACGCTCGCCTGGGCTTCGGGCCATCACCTGGATCTCGAGACGCCTGCCCTAACCATTCCAACACACTTATTCCCGAGGACAGTGACATGTTCCTACACAAGCACAGTGCCAGAATCACACTCAGCCAGCTCAGTGCTGGCCGATACAATCATGCAAAACCCTTCATTTACAGCCATCTCAGGGCTGGGGAATACTGCCGTGGGGAGCGCATGCCCATATTCATAAGACTGTGGGTTTGCTGTCTGCCACCAAAAAAAAAAAAAAAATAAATAAAAGGTCTCGATTGCCTCCCAAAGGTCCTTAGAGCTCCCCACCCCACTCTGGACCTGGGATTCAGTCATCATCAAGAAACCAGACTACACTGACACTCTGCTTTAGCCTCCCGTGATCTCAAAGTCTCCTAGCTTGTGACATCAGCTGTGACATCAGCCAGCTGCTCTGCACAAAGTCCCTACCCTGGGGTTCCGGGTATAGTATCTGCCTAGCATACTCCAGGTGCCAGTTTGATCTCCCAGCACTGACAAAAAAAAACCTATTGGGTTTTGTTTTTGAAATGGGCTCTTGCTGTGTTGCTAGCCCTGGCCTCAAAACACCTGAGGTGAAGCAATCCTCCTGCCTCAGCTGCTTAGGTAGCTGGGACTACAGTACACAACACCTCGCCCAGTTCCTGCTCTGAGTGTGCGACTAGAGCACGTAACTCCGGTACCCCTGGGAAGACCTCTGACCCTCCCTTCATGACCACAGCTGGGGGCTGGGGGGTGGGCTCCTAGGGTTCACATACAGCTTCACAGAACCTTTCCATTTATCAGGGAGTCCAGAGCCCCAAGATACACATTGCAGGCTATAATTCACTGCCGGAGCAGGTTGAGTGCCCCCACTTCCCGCCCTGCCTGCTTCGCATGAATCCTGGCAGGGGAAGGCAGAGTGGCTCTAACAGTTTGATCCTGCCCTCTCTCACTACCAACCCCGGCTGTGGCACTGAGGGAAGCTTGGGGGAGCAGAGGGGCCTTCTCTGCTGCTGGCCACTGGGGCTGTGCAGATCTCAGCCCTGTTTTTTAAGCTGCTCTGGGGCCTGGGATATGGGGAATTCTGGCACGGGGATGCTGCCCCTGATTCACTGCAGCAGCTGTAGGGGCTGCCTGGGGCTCCAGATCTCCTCAATAATCAGCTTTGTGAGTCAGAGGCAGCAGCTGCCCCAGGCGACCAGGCTTCATTGGGAGAGATGGGGATTGGATTAGATGGGAACTGGTTAGTGGAAAATGAAGAGGGAGGGTGAAGGGAGCTAGACAGGGACAGATGGAGAGGACACAAAGGTAACTGTGTGCCCTACACTCCTTTACGCTCAGACCAGCTCAGAAAGGACTGGGGAGCCTGATAAGGTACCACATGCCTGGGATTCCAGAGCTTTGAGAGGCTGAGGCAGGAGGATCACAAATTCAATCCTAGGATTATCAAGACTCTGTTTCTAAATAAATAAAGAGGTGGTGAGGGATATAGTTCAGTGTAAAAGTCAAAATGCTGGGACTCTGAGCCTCCAAGGGAAGAAACTGAGGTATGAATTCTCTGGTTGGGTAGGTCCTCTTAGGACAACCTTCCCAGGACCGGAGTCGTCCTTTTGTCACCCCTGTCCTGCAAAACAGCCACTCTCCTTAAAGAATTTGCACCTACCAGGATCGGGGACCCTTATTTCAACATCACCCTCGAACCTAGCACACTAGAAGTTCCCTAGGCGACAGCCCAAAAGCCTTGTAGACAAGTGTTGTGACCCAGAGGCCCAAGATGTGACTGTGAACCACTAAATGCCACCCTGCACTTCAGTCTAGACCTGCTGCTGGGTAAAAAAAGAGCAAGGCATAAACAAGGCTGCTGGGGAGCTAGTGGTGCCTGGGGTTAGTCCAGATGCTGTCTCCTGTGCCCAGGGGCTGACAGGTGAGGCCGAATCCCAAACACAGGAGCAAATGGAGCTCATGTCCAGTGCATGTCCAGACCCCTCCCCGCCTGGATAGCAGGCCCTGGCTCCATCCTCTCTGGGATGTGCACAACTGCCTTCTTCAGACTGGGCAGGAACCACTCTAACGATACAATTAGTCACCCACTTGTCAAGCAAAGCGCCTGCCCAGAGCGGGTCTGACAAAGAAAAACCGCCTCTAAGCTCAGTCTCCTCCCCTGCAGATTTCTCCCCAGTGTTAACCATTGTGTCCAGCCAAGGTCACAGTGGGCATCTGTGGGCACTGACACTGTCCCTGCTGCCTTCCCCCCTACACAGAGGCTCCCAGGGACAGAACAAAGTGTTACAGTTGGACTGTAGACAGCCGAGGTGGTGGACTGCACTAGCCAGGGGGACAAGGTCCTAGGACCATGGGCAAAGGGGTTTCTGGTGTGAACAGATAAGTGGGAAAGAGCACAGGATTGGCTAGAAGTGGGCAAGGGAGGTCCTGTGGCGCCAGGGCTGAGCTGGAGGCCAACATACCAGAGTGGCCCCAGGCAGAGGTGGAAAAGAAGGTCATCTTGGGGGTGTCCAAAGCTCTGAGCTGTACCCCTGAGGGTGGAGTGGGCATGCTAAGGCCCACATGCTGCCTAAAAAGTCTAACCAATAGGGGTGAGAGGCTGCTCCACAAGCTTTTGTGATGACAACTAAGCATATGGTTTAATACCTGGGTGCAGGCAGCCAGAGAGCAGTAAGGCTGGAAACAGAGAGTGTGTCCCTTTTGCAGGGATGGAAAGAAGGCCGGGGCCATTAGGCAGGGAGATTGTAAACAATTGTGGCCAAAGTTGTCTGGCTGTCTTGCACCTCAGTGGACAGGGACCTTGAAGGCAGGTCAAAATTTTTGGGACATCTTGAGATGTCCCCAGGACCTGCAAAATTCCTTGTTCTACCTTGTTCTCCTTCAGGACACCCAGTGCTCCCCGAGGACTACCTCACTGTTGAACCTAGGTCCCTGCTGTGAGTAGTATCTCTTCTGGCAAGTGGGTGGGAGCTAGGAGGTCAAGTCCGATCTGAACCTTACAAAAAGGACAATAAAAACGATTGCAATGGTCATGTCCGGCCTCGTGGGCCTCGAAAAACACATCGACTCTGGAATGTAGATTTAAAGTTGGTTAAAGTTAGCACCTGCCTTGCAAGCAGGTGGTCGTGAGTTCAATCCCCGGTACTGATAAAAATGAAAAAGACAAAAATAAAATAAAACAAAATAAAATAAAATAAAATAAAATAAAATAAAATAAAGTTGGCCTAAAAGAGGCAGCTTTCCTCCCTCGTCACTGTCACCTCCCCAAAGTACTAGATTTCCAACACCGAGGCAACTCCAACCGCCGGTCTTGAGAGGAGCCACGTGCGTGAGCGTGGATTTGGGAGTGGGAGCAGGGAGTGGAGCAAAATCACAGCGGTCAGAGGCCTGGAAGCGGCGCGGCTCCGGGCCTCGACCCCACCCGACCCGACCCAGCCAGGGCGGCTCCCGGGCGGAGGAGGGGAGGAAGGAAACAAGCAAACTCCAGGCGCTTGACACTCGGTGGCACTTTCTGGGAGAGGATGGCGAGCCCAAGAGCTGAGACTGCGCGCCCCGGATCCCCGATGCCTCGCGGGGACCTCAGGGCCGGCAGGGACACCAGAGACGCAGGCCCCAGGGAGGGGAGGGCCCCGTGCGTACCTGCCTGGCTTCGGCCGCCGTCAGCTCCTCCGCCTCTGCCAGAGCCGCCGCGGGCTCCCCGGGCTCCTCCGGGCCCTCGGGTTCTCCAGGTCCCGCGGGCTCTGGGGCACAGGGGCTGGGTGGCGTGGGGGTCGCGGTGGCCTGGGCTGGGAGCGCGGGCTCCGGGGCTGCTCCGCGCCGCAGCAGCAGCCAGGCAAACAGCACCGCTAGCACCGTGACCAGCGCAGGGAGCGCGGCCAGCAGCTCCGCCGGCGCCTCCATCGAGCCCCTGCAGCCTAGAGCTGCCCGCTCGCCAGGATCCCCAGGGAGCCCGCCGCGCCCCGCCCTGGGGCGGAGCCTGTGCCTCACCCCACCCCCAACCAGGAGTGGGCCTGACTGGGATGCTGCTGGGGTTGGGGGCAGCTTACTCCAGGGGCTTGCAGCTCAGGCCCCGACTTGTCTGGGAGGCCTGATGCTTTGAGGCAGTTTAATCTGATCATCTGAGCTCGGGCTCGGTTTGCAAACCACTGAGAGGTTCTCATTACTCGGGCGCCCTGAGATTAATCATCCCACGGCATCACTTCAGTCCTGCAGTTCACCTTGGAGCGGTCTGCAAGTGCAGGTGCCAGTTGGGGAAGGACAGGGTAGAGTCATTAACCGCGAAAGAGCCATGGCAATTGCGGCCCGACTGCCTTGTAAGACAGCTAGTACTCTGCACGAAGCCTCACTGCCTGGCGCCTGGGCTGTTTCCGGACGGGTCTTAGGCTGGTATCTCTCAGCGCTGACCTAACATACTCCCACCTCTCAGACAGGCAGGACTGTGTCCTCAAATTCCCTCCCAGGCGGAAGCTAGCGGTTGTCCACAGGCCTCCTGGTGACCAGGCTGCCTCCCAAAGCCTGGAAATGAGCGCGGGGGTGGGGGAGCACTTCTCCTCTGTGCACTTCTGGAATGCAGGCAGGGTAGGAGCACAGAACAGGGAAAGGAAGGCTACTGTGTTTCTTTTTTCAAATCCTTCCAGGGCTCTGTTGCTGAATGGTGTTGTGTTTGAGACAAATATACTGGAACCAACATACTTCCCTACCCTTTATCACCCCATCCTGGGCAGCTGTCAGGCACAGTGCCCAACATAAGGCCTCATGTCAAAAGCAGGGTTCCAGCTGCACAAGAAGGCACACACCTGTAGTCCCAGCTACCAGGAAGGTTGAGGCAGGAGGGTTCTCTTGAACCCCGAAGTTTGACTCCAGTCCACACAACATAGCCAGACACTAACAATAAAGAAAAACGCCAAAACTGAGATGCCAGCCAGGGGTTCAGCTCAGCAGCACAAGTGCCTGCCTGCCTGGCAAATGTAAGACTGTGAGTTTGATCCCCAGTATTAAAAACAAAAAACCCCAGAGATGCTAGATGGGGTGCTTCCTTCAAAATACAAGCTCTAGGTACGCCCTTGGCTGCTGTGTGAGGTCTGCAACGAAGAGCTTTGTCTGGCTGCATCTAACGGTTGGTGGGAAGATGCTCTCGCCCTTGGCTGCTGTGTGAGGTCTGCAACGAAGAGCTTTGTCTGGCTGCATCTAACGGTTGGTGGGAAGATGCTCTTACTGTGGAAAAGGTATGATGGTGCATGCTTGTAATCCCAGCACTTGGGAAACTAAGGCAGGAGGATTGTTGTGAACTCAAGACCAGTCTAGCTATGAGTTCAAGCCTAGAACAGGCAGTGAGAGCCTGTTGCCAAAGAAAATGGGGGCGGGGGGTGCAAAGAAAGGAAAAGAAAAGAGAAAAAGGTGAAATTGGTTTTGTCTCTAGGCTGCTGCTGGCTGTTGATCACTGTGGGAGTTCTGGCCAAACTAGGTCTTATTTTAGTCTCTTTTCCTCACTGCTTTAAGGTAATATTCTTAAGAGGTCTTCTGCTGACAAACTATGTTCCACGGATTTTCAAATGAATAAAAGAAAGGACACAGCAATACAGAAAACACAACCCCAAATCCAGTTGCTTTATTTAAAATGAACAAGTTTCATCTACGTAAAAGTTAAAAATGCCAACTCAAGGGCAGACTCCACAAGCATTTCAAGGCAGACGCCACAGCACGAGAGACACAGAACAAGACTGCGAGGTGTTCTGTTGGACAACCACAGGAGGCAAGTTCTGTAGAGTCTGTCACCAAGGAGCCGGTGCTGGCATCTGGGGGAGATGGCGGTGGCCGCAGGACACCTTGGTGATTCAAATTTTTGATCTAACCATGAGACAAATCTGAGAGCTAACGCCAGGGGCCTATACTTAATCTCACCTGGTTTTGTGGAAAACAATGTCACATCAACAGGACATCTTGATAAGAGTCAGGAGGGAGAGGCCTGACCCACCCTGAACCCACTGCAGTGCACACATGTCCTAGCTGCTTGCCTGGGGAAAGCTACGCACAGAGCAGCTACAGACCCTATAGTCGTGTGCTCATGGCTCCCTTCTGGTCAGCACTGCAGCACTGCCTCCAGCTCCATGAGTCCGAAGTTCAAGGCTGGGGTCTGGGTGTGCACAGCACCCTGGCAACTTGCTGTGAGCTTTTCTGTAAGGGCCTCTAGCTCCTCTACAAAGAAACCACGTGCATACCTAGCACACTCCAACAGGGTGAGCCATGTCTCTTCGTGAAGAACTGGGTCCGTGTTTGGTGAGGGTTGTGAGATGCATCCTCGTCTCCTACACTTATGGATGACAGCAGTCACTGCCCAGCAGGCGTGAGGTAGGGACCCTGGCTTGTCCCTGCCATATCTCCTGCACCCAAAGCAGTTCTGGCACTCAAACATTTTTTTGAGACCGTTTCAGGGTCAGATTGGCCTTGAATTTCCTATGTAGACCAGGCTGTACTTGAACTCACAGTGATCCTCCTGCCTCAGCCTTCTAAAAGGGCTGGGATTACAAGTGTGCACCACATCTGGATGGCACTGGAACTTTTGCTAGATGCTTGGATTACTAAGCAGTGGGCAGTGCAAGAACAGAATGAGAACGTGAGTGGTGCTCTTGCTTCAGGGGCTCCTCGTGACAACCTTGGCCTCGGTATCCTCAGACCACTGACAACTCCAAAGCCACTTACACAGAGGCACTGGCTTCTCCTGGGCTGAAGGGGCTGCATTTCCATCTAGGGAGCTAGATGCCTGGGGTCCTACTCACGTCACTCCTCCCCAGCATTCCAACCCTCCTTCCCAACATGAAGCTTGTGGGGATTTAGAACTGTGGCCATCCTGGAGAATAATTCCTGCAAACGGCTTGCGTTGCATCCTTCTCTTTCCTCCTGCTGACTCCATTCAAAGGAGGAGCACAGGCCAGGGGGGTGGGAAAAGACAGCTCTGCACAACTGGTGCCCCGGCTCCCCCACCTCACCCTGCTTCCAAAGTGGAGCGCTGAGTCCTTGGCTTGGCCAGAACAAATAAGGCACCCCACCATTATTTACAGGGTGGCATGAGCATCACATAATCTGTGCTGTCCAGCACTGTCAGGCCAGGTCACTCGTTCCTGTAGGTGTGCAGCAATCAGAAATCACCTCCAGCATCTGAAGAACTAAGCGGAAAGCTGAGCTTTCAGTTTCAAATTCCTGCTTCATCAGTCAGGCCACTGGCAACATGTCCCACTGCGTCCCCTGGTGGCAAATGGCCCCTCTTCTGACTGAAGTTTCAGAGGAAGTGGAATAGCTCCGTGAAGGTGGTAAGAAGTATTTTCAAAAGCTGGAGGAGCAGCTGGGCAGGGAGATGCATTTCTCTAGTCCAGCTATGGGAGAGGTCAGGCAAGCTTCAGTCCAGCCTGGGCAATGTAGTTCTCAAATCACGAGGGCTGGGAAGTAACCCAGTGGTACATGGTATGCTCGAGGCTCTGGGGTCCATCCCCAGCATTTGAAGGGGGAACACTCAGAAACAAAAACAGAGAGGAAGAACCCCTTGGGTACTACCAGAGCTCCAGCTTTTGGGTCCCTCCCACTCACAGACAAGCACATCCTGGTCCACTGGGTGTTGGGTGTCTGCTGCTGTTGGGGAGGACGCTGTGCCTGACAGAGAGCTGCAGCCTTTGGGGGAGAGGCTTCCCCAACCCAGTCACAGGCCGGGCTGGGTGTTCAGGAGGCAGAAAGTTGAACTGAGACAAACCAAGACCTGCCTCCTAGAGCAAAAGCACATGACTCCAGAGCCAGGGAGCGACCACCTGTCTATTTTCCGTGAATGTAGGGACAGATTAAGGCAAGCAGGTAAAGCTAGAGGACAAGACAGTACACGTACTGGTCAGTCCCCAAGTTTTCCACCAGCGCTCTGTAACAGCATCCACAGATCACAGAGACAAGTACCACTCGTCCGTCACCCCCTCCTTCGTTAATACCAGCTGCCCATTTGACGTCTGCAGGTCGAGCAAACACAGGACACTCACAGCTAAGTCCCTTACAGAGACAAGAGAAACGGCTGCTGGAACATGGCCTGTTCATAACTTAAGTTCTGAGACAAAAGCACATCAAGTACCTTTCTCACTCTGTGAGCAAACAGGTGTCACCCCTGCCCCAAAATGCACCACGTAAAACACCCCTGAAATTTCGTAGTCTGAGCATGGAGAAAGATGAAGGCCGCTGAAACAGTGCTGAGCAGTGGGCGTTGGTGCTGGGCACAGCTGGCACACAGCTGTCTCCACCTCTGTATGCATCCTTGGCATGGTGCCATCCAGGAGAGCAGCGCCCGCTCACAATGCTTCTTCCATGTGGCTACTGCCCCGCCCCCCATTCGCACGCACTCACCACACCAGGGTCTCTGCTTGTGCAGCCGCTGCTGTTCCTTACAACAGCAGCGAGGGAAGGGACAGGGTGAGATGCAGAAGGGATCACACCCCTCCAGCCTCAGGGGTCCAGGTAGTTTTGCACAAGGTGACACAGAACTTTCTTACCCAACATCATGGGACCTTCAGCGTTTCACTGAGCTGGCCGACTGTTTAAACTTCTTGGTAATCTAGTCTGAGCAAGCAGTAAAACCAGCATCGACCGAAGACAGGAGCTTGGACCAGAGAAGAAGATCCAATTCAAAGAAGACAAAGTAGGAGCAGAAGACGTGAGAACTGAGTTGAGTGGCTGCCAACAGCTCACACAGAGCCACCTCAGGGAGTCTCTTTATTTGCTCAGGGGTGAACCCGGCCTCCACATGTGTCCCTAATCCTGCCAAGGAAAGTACAACCACCTGTCATCAGCGTGTAGACAGCACAGCTGGCCACAGCACTGGACGGCAATGTTAGCAGTAGAGCACTGGGGTCCCAGGCAGAAGTGATGGCAGGGCTCTCTAGAAACCTTTCCTACAAACTGTAAGGCCACACATGAGACACAGATTCAATCAAGTACATAACAGAAACAACTTAGAGGCAGGCAAGAGGAGAAACCTAAGCATGGCTGTGAAAGGGACTGGGGCTGAGACGTGTCCATGCTAGCTCATCAGCTTCTCTGAATGCAATCCTGACTTCCTCCATGGCATTCCAGCTGGATCACACAGGACAAAGATAAGATGACAGAAAGGAACACGGGTCCTGAACGTGACTACCACCTGCAGCCCTCCGGGACTTCAGACACTGGGAACGCTGCAGCCTTCAGCCTTTTACTCTCTTCCCCCAGCCTCACCTCTCAGCGTCTCCACCAGGGTGATGAAACAGGTTCTCTGGGACCACAGGACCCCAGAGGCACATGGCAGGGCCAACCTTTACTATGCGCCTGTTCCACACTGCACAGGGCAAACTCTGGCAGAGACGCTCTCAGATTCTGAAGGTGAGGCACAGCTAAATGAGATCCAATCAAAATTTCAAGTCGTGCTTGAGATAATAAAAGTCAGGCATGGTGGCGCACACCTGTAATTACAGCACGCAAGAGGGAGGCTGAAGCAAGAGGATCACTGCACGTTTAAGGCCAGGCTGAGCTACATACTGAATTCAAGGACAGTCTAGCCTACATAGCAAATTCCTGAAACAAAACTTAACTGACATAGCAAATAAAAATAAAGATGTATGCTGGGCACAGAGGCACACACCTGTAATCCCAAGTTCAGCAGGCTGAGGCAGAAGGACTGCCTTGAGTTCAAGGCCAGCCTGGGCTACACAGTGAAATTCTATTTCAAACAAAGCAAAACAAACGTGGAATTTTTTTTAAAAAATCTGAGCTGTTTTCTGTTGTCTGGCTTGGCCTGAGCAACCAAACTAGCAATGACAAACTGGGAAAAGGTAAGAAGCCAGCACCAGGGTCTTTAGAAGCTGCCTGACAACTCCTTGGAGTGTATCCCATTTCATTCGGGGTACTACACACCCCCATCAGCATCCAGCAGGGAAGCCACTGTGCGCCCCAGGACTTCAAGAGAGGAGCAGCAGGGAAGGCTGTGCTATTATCTAAGGCAAAAGTGCTGGAGATATAAAATGGACTTGTTTTATTAGTGTAAAGGGTCTCTGGCACCAACCACACGAGCTTGCCTTTCCCATAATCAAGCCATGCTGACTCACACCAGGAGAATAGGAAAAGCTACTGTAGCAAGTGTTGCAAGTGCTGAGCAACAGTCCCGTTGAGGCCATCCTCCTCCTCTGGTGCGTGGCGCCCTCCCCTGGTCTGCAGGAAGCAATAGGCTGCCCCTGGGCCCTGCCCCGCCGCGAGTGTGTCCTGTACAGACAGCGCCGTGCGTGCGTGGTCACCTGGAGGAGCTGCGCTCTTTGCTCACACAGTCGTCCTGGGAGGTGGTGTCCCCATTGCCCATCATGCTGCATGTCCTCCGTTTCTTCCTGCGGTGCATTGTCCCTTCACCTTCTGACCCAGACTCACACTGGACACAGGAAGAAAACAAGAATTCAACCGGGATGCAACCATTTCTCTGCAAACAAGCCCAGGCCCTGAGGAGAGAGCGCGGGCACTGATCACCCGCTCCCAGAGAGCAGCCCCGCCCCACAGCTCCACAGCACTGCCTGAGTGTCCTCAAGTGCTCAGGCTCCCTGAGGGGGAACTTCTCCAAGATGCTGACGGTCACCCCACTAGTCTCTCACGGGGGCTTAAGGGTCTGAAATCGAGATCCCTCTGTGAAGTATCTCACACCTGGCATTCTGAGATTGCTACAGCACTTCACTGTACCTCAGAGCTCAGTGGAGAGAAGTACACAGGCACAGTGCTCAACAGCTCAAGATCCCCTCCCCAGACCAAAAAAAAATGTCACAGGAGTCTGGGACAGGAGAGACAAAAATAAAAGCTAGGCATGGTGGCATCAGACTCAATTCCAGCACTCAGGAGGCTGAGGCAGGGGGATCATCACAAATTTGAGGTTAATGCAGGCTAAGCCTGTTTCAGTTAAGAGCCTGTCTTGAAAAAATGAGACAAAAACCAGCGTGGTAAGGTGATGTACATGGGAAACTCTAGACTTGGGAGGCTGAAGGAGGAGGCTCACAAGTTCAGTGGCAGTAGAGATCCCATCATGAGTTCGGCATTGGCCTGGACTACACAGTAAGACCATTTCACCAAGAAAAAAAAAGCAGCAAAGGGGAGGGACTTCACCTGCTAAGGGCTAAAGGCCTCCTACCCACTATTTCATGTTAACTTAAGCGGATGTTTTGGGTCTACAGTATACTACCCACAGGGACAATTTTCCACTGTGCTTTGAGGTCAATGGCACGTGAATCTGAATCCTGACACTGTTGCTTGCTAGCTGTGCAACACTGGGCCATATAACCCTAACTGTCCCATACCTCGGAGGTTATATGACTGGTCACACACATATGAAGCTGTCAAGTGAGCAAGGCTCACCTTTTTTGCGGGAATAGAGGTGACCACATGCTTCAGTCGGGCAGGCCGGTGTACACAGGTACCTTAGGCCCAAGGTCCCAGTGCAGGGGCACCAGGTCTCCCTTACCTCAGAGTCTGAGTCGGAGGAGCTGGAGCTGGAGGAACTGGAGGAATCACTGGAACTGTCAGAGGCGATGCCTGTGGACTCCTGGAGGTCAACGGCGTCTGCCAGGACCGCCAGCTCAGGGTGTTCCTGCTTCAAGATCCTGAGAGGCAAGAGAGGTACTCAGCACCGAGGCAGGTTGCACATGCAATGACTCAGACTCAAATGGAGAACCCGCACTGCTGGAAGACACCCAACGTGCCTAGCGTACTGACTCAGGGACTCCTGCACACAGCCCCAAGCTAGAGCAGAGCTGGGCAGGCTGCCCACGCTGCTCCAAAGGAGAGCTCCCTCTAGGCTCATGCAATCCCACTGCCTCCCCGCACGAGGGAGCCAGCCACACAGCTGCACAGGAGGCGGTGTGCACTTGGGTTGCTCTAAGTTGTCTTCCTTTCCTAGTTTTCTTCCTAGTTCCTAAAACTTTCCTAGCTGTGTTTTTTTTTTTTTTTTTTTTTAATATCTTTCATTTCCACAGCACAGCACTAATAATGGAAGTTGAGTTTGGCTAGATTCTATTTGTATGAGCAGAAACAATTAGGTTTGTAAGAAATAAGGTGTCAGTTAAAGAGACTGCTCCATTCACTTGGGAGACAAACTGAGGGCCTCCTAAGAGCTGCAGCCTTCCCCTGTAGAAATTTAACCTGCTCCACTGTCACCAGCCACAAAAGACCTGCTGTCTGTTAAGGCCTTGCACATGGCAAGCTGAACACAAGGCAGTCTATAGGGCAGAGGTGGGCCGCAGAAGCCCGGGGTCCAGTGGAATAGAAGCCACCACCCTTGCTGCCTCTCAGAGGGAGGAGGTGCACTGAACAAGCCAGAATCCCTCTCTTACCCCGAGAGCTGGTCCCTCCAGGTCAGGGTTGGGACACAGTGGCACGGGGTGGCTGGGGGTGGCTTGCACTGCCGCTGCCCGTGCTGTATCTGGTCTGTGGATAAACAGAGGAGCTAAGTCTCCAGGGCAGTCACCTCACTCACAAGAACTCAAGGCAGTAAGTTCAAATGGGAAGTGCTTCTGGGTAAGAAAAACAAATAACCAAAGTAAAATCTAAGCAAAAGAGTTTCTTTTGCTAGTGCTAGCTTTGAAAATCAAACAGACAACAAAACAAAAGGAGAAATAATACCAACTACGACCACGTCCTGAGTGGTTTTGGACAAACATGTAGAGGCTCCCCCACCGCTTGGAGGCCGGCAGACATCCTGAAAGCTGGCCCTGACCTTGGTGCTCTCTCCCCGCCAGTGAGGCCCTGCGTTTCCTAGGCCTCTCTGAGCTCAGCACAGAGTGCAGCAGAGATGGGCTCTTTGTATTTCCAAGGCAGGAGTTGGAACAAAGCAAAAATAACAAAGAAGTGTTTCTTACCTATACCATTTCCTTGACAACTTTGGTCGCCCTCTTACCGTCTTGTGCCACACAACAGGGAAGTTGGTGCTGCTGGCAAAGTTCTGGGTGATGGCAATGGTGGTGTCAAGATTGAGGACAACATGCCACCAACCTCCTGAAATCCAACAGATAAACAGCTCAAAAGGTTTGGTCCTCTACAATCAATACAAGACACCAACTCCAGGAAGTGGCCATTCTTAACTGTAAGGGACACAGCACAGACACAAGTATAGCCTAAGAAAGGTAGTGCTGGAAGGGAGCGGTCTGAGGTCTGTGTCAACAACACGTGACAGGAGCATGGCCACACCCATCCCTTTAGCCACCATCTATGGCTGCTTTCTTTCCTGCTACAAGATGGTGTCAAGCAACTGTGACAACCTGAGCCTAAAAAATATATACTCTGGCCCTGTATGGCGAGTCTGAGCAACCCAAACAAAGCTATGCTCCTCCAAACTGTAAAGGCAGAAGTTCTCCAACTTCCAAGGAGGCTCCAACTCAATCACATTTTTGTTTGTTGAGTCAGGCTAGTCTTGAACTCGGTCACCCTCTTTTTCAGCCTCCCAAGTGCTGGGATCACAGGTGTGCACCATTACACCCGGCCCTTAGTCACTTTTCTAAAGTTTCACCCATTAAAGTGTAGTTGTATCAAAACCCTACTTCACAGAAATCAGCACAAAGGTTACACTGCAGAGATCCTAAATAACTAAGGAGGGATACAGTTACTTTCACCCTGCAGAAGAGCTTCCCTGCTGGAGATTCAACTACATAGTGTTACCAGAGTAGGTCCCCTCATCTTAGGACACTTTTTGGACTCATTTTAAATACAATTCTCCTTGAAAACCACAACACCAATTACTGCAATCAAACAGGGGTGTGGTATAGCTCCAAGGCTCAGCCCTTGCTACTTGCATTTGTTGAGGCCTGTGTTCAATAGCCAGCATGGGGCTCAGCTATACCTGGGACAAAGACAGTCTCTCCTGGCTTCTGTAAGATTTCCAGAGGCTTGAATTCAGGTGGCCACGTTGGAAGCTGTGTTCGGGGATAAATGACATTAAACCAGGTAATGGCTTCATCTTGCTGGTTCCCGCCTTCTTCTCGGGTCACCTTGATGAGCTCTCGGGGAGTGCTAGTTGGGAAAAGGCACCAACGCTTGTGGCCCTGCACTAAAGCATTCCAGGCACTAGTTCCCAGAGGATCAATGTGAATCCCAGTTCCGGAACGTGGTGGCCCCATGACAAACCACCTACAGAAATGAAACAAAGCACGAAGGAAATTTTAATTACAGATGTGTAGCACAAAGGCAGATCACCGGGTGTGGTGGTGCACGCCTGTAATCCCAGCAGTTGGGAAGCTGAGGCAGAAAGATGGCTGCAAGTTTAAGGCCAGGCTTAACTGCATAGTGAGACCCTGTCTCAAAAAGACAAAAAGAAAAAAGAAGACTACGTTCTTACATTATTACATAATGCATTATTGATATTTTGGAGACTAAACAAATTTTGGTACACAGAAACATTAAGTGAATTGTGCATTGAATAATCTCAGACAAAAACTGATCACTGAAGGAGTGCGTGGCAGGAGTGGCAGGAGCTTAATCGATGAAACTTCCCTGAGACTGGTGACTCATCTTCAACCACACATGTAAATCACCTGAGGAGTCTGACTAACCCTGATGTCCCAGGGCACCCCAGACCAATTAAATCAGTCTCCCCAAGAGGAGCCTGAAGTTAATATAAGGCCATGGGAAAATACCCTGTCTGCAAGATCAGCGGGCTGAACTCTGGCACCAGTAGCCGTTGGCGGTGAGGTTTTCAGCACTGAGTGGCATAGCATTTTACCTGTAGGGAGGCCTGCGCTTCTCTCCTGCATACTGGAATAGGTCATCGGTGAAAAACTTGGGCACCTTGTAGTCTTCCAAAAGTTTCCTTCTCTTGGGGTGCTCCCCATAGCTACTATCGAAGATGTAAAGGGGGCTGTCATCCCGCGTGCTCTCCATGTACTCGATGTAGTACTTCATCTTCATCTTCACCGAGTAGCCATCGTTATCCTCGCCACACTTGAACTTCTGGTTGCGGTATTTCCTTTTTAGGCGCTCCAGAGTCCATTTCTCCTGCGCAGACCAGCCTTCTTGGGCATTCAGCAGAACCACGGGCTTGTAAGGTCTTTCATATCGCTCCACGAATTCTTCCACGGACAACTGTAACGCGTCTGCCCTTTCCACGTTATCCTAAGGGAATCAGAGAAGATCTGTTTAGTTAAAAAATGAAAGTCCGGTGACAGATAAAGGTGCCTCCCAGGGCCAATTAGCAACGACATACACGGCAATGAATGAGACTCCGGCTCCCCGTGAGAGGGAGGGGGCGCGTGCGTGCGAGCACGTCGCACCGGGGCCACGCACGGCATCTCCCACGTGTGAGTTTTGACAGCTGGGTCCCCCGGGACCCTGGCTCCCGAGGGGTCAGAGACGGCCCCGCCACCTGGTGGGAGGAAGGAAGCCGCCTGGCCATCCGAGCCTCTGGGACTCCGAACTCGGCCCCGAGCTCAGCGAGGCCCGCGCTCTGGCCGCCGGGGAAAGTGCGGGCGTCCAGCCCCGCGCCCCTGCCCCGCTCACCGCCACGGCCGCCGGGTTCAGCGGAAAGCTCTCGTAGTAGTTGTGCCGGGTCCAATCCAGCGAGTCTTTGAGCTCCGGACGCGCACTCCGCTTGGCCTCGCGGATCCGCTTCTTGCTCTTGTGGTTCATCCTGCAGGGTCACCAGCTAATTCCGCGACGACCTCGCGCAGCTCGCTTCTTGCCACTGAGGCGCTCTTCTTGACCAGGGTGAGGGCGGCGGCGGCGGCGGGGGCGGCGGCGGCGGCAGCGGCGGCGGCGACAACGAAACGCCCTTCGCTCCGGCCCGGCGACTTTAAAGCCGCCTTCCAGAAAATTCACTCCCCAGCTTCCTCCTGAGCCTCGGGTTGGGCGTGAGGCAACTGTTCTCCCCGCCCCACCAGGTCTCGCGGCCCGCCATTGGCCTCCGTACCTCCGAGCTCCGCCCTCACAGGCGAAAAGCGGACGCCATGTTGAGAAGGTCGCGTCGCCCAGGATGGATGGGTGGAGCCGTGCCGTCGCCCCGCCCCCCTACAGCCAGCTTCCGGCGTGCGCACCGCTTCCGGGTGCGCACCGCTTCTCTGCTGCCCTCTTCCGGCTTGGTCCGCGCAGGGCTTCCCTCTTTTATCCGCTTCAGGCTGGTTGTGCGCTGTGTGCGGCTGCGTGATCTCCCGCGCAAGGCCTTTTCCTTTTCGCGGCCTGGTTGTAGCGGTCGGGCGGGGCGGCGCAGAGCCACGTGGCGTCCCGGAGGCGGCCACAGACGCCCCGGCATCCCGCTTAAACAACCTGGCAGCCCGGCGACCACTTAGTCGGCTGCCCTCTGACGCCCCTGCGGGCGAGCGCCGTCTCCCTGGCTATGTGGCCCGAGCCCAGCGCTTCCGGTTCTCGGGGGAGACGGGCTCGGGAGCCGAAGGTCCTGTGCTGGAGATCTGCGTCCCGCAGGTGCGTGCCGCGGCTCCTACCGCGAGGCGAGCCTGTACCCTGTGCAGCTCTCGGCTGATCTGGTCGGGGTGGCGAAGCAGCGAGGTCCTCTGCTCCGCGGCTTCCCACTTTTAGGTTGGCGCCCAGAGCCGAAGGTGTGGGATGAAGCCCTTTAGCGGATTAAATGTAACAGGACGCCTGAGGACCTAGCTAGGCAAGGGTCTTCTCCACGTCAGATACATTTTCTTTCGGGAAAGTGGCATTCTTCATCTCTGATACTATCCTTGGTAAAAGGCTTCTCAGTCCATCGGTTTTGAGTATTGATCGAAGGTATGCCAAAAACTCCTTATCGGTGAGCTATAGCCCCAGCCAGTATTTCTCTGGGTGCCTAAATAAAGTTTCTTGGGGTAACCCTAATGCGGGGAAAGGGCTTTTGGACTGCGCTATATCCCCGCCATTTGTTTATTTATTTATTTAGTTAGTTTTTTTGAGACAGAGGCTCTCTGAACCCAGGCTGGCCACTCTAACAGAGATCCTCTTGAGTGCTGGGATTACCGGTGTGTACCACCACATCTGGCCCTTTATTTTTTGAGACAGTAGGTCCTCACTAAATTGCCAAATTGACCTTAAACTTCCTGTCCTCCTACCAGAGCCTACCATAGTTCTGGGATTGGGTACTTTGCCCCTTGTAGCCTTTTCTGCCGCCACACCAGGAGCGGTTTTATTGCTAATACCGGGTGCTTATCCCTTTTTACTTGATGGAGACAGTATTTTGCAGTTGAGGAAACCAAAGCCCTGACAGATTAAGTACTTGTTTGAGGTCACACAGCCAGTGGTAGATTACAGATGAGTCTGAACCCAGGTAGGCTTATTCAGAACGTGAGCTGTGACTGATACCTTGCCTAAGCGGCATACACTAATGAATCAAGCTGCCCAAAGCCTTTGAGGGCTGCCCTCCCTTCCAGCCTCAGATTCGGCCTCACTCACCCGGCCTCACTCACCCATCCCAGGATGCCTTCAGGACTGTGCACACTTCTCGCCATTAGCATACCTTGTAAGTTCCACTAGTGTCCAGTGGCTTCCTGTTGAGCTTAGAATAAATTCTGAACTTAGTGCCTGCTCAACAAGACCCACAGGTCCCTCCCTGCCTTACCTCTTCAGAGCCACCCCTTACCATACCAAGGGCTACCCAGTCCAGCCACAAGGGCCTTTGATTCTGTGCAGCAGCCGGTCTTGTGGTCACCTTGCTCCATCCCATTATGTTCTTAACCCTGTTTGTGGCATTTAGCACTCATCAGAAGCCTCTTGCTTACTTATCTGTTGCCTTGGTCCGGTAGGATTTGCACTCTGAGCGCTCATCCCTGGTGTTGTGGCTGTGGATTCTCAGGCACTGGAAATGCTTGTGCATGCATAGAGAGCTGTGAAGTGTTCATTGCACTGCATTGCAGCTCTTCCCCCCCCCCCAGCTTGGGTCCTAGAGAGGAGAGTGGAGTTGTCATTTTTATAATGGATGCCAGTGCTTGATGCTGGTCACTGTACAAATACTCATTTCCAGCAGGCTTTTATGACACACATACAAAAAACACTTTCCAGGTCCTGCATCTCCAGTATGGCATGTATGTCTGGCCTTGTGCGGTGGTCCTGGCCCAGTACCTCTGGTTTCACAGAAGAGCTCTGCCTGGCAAGGCTGTCTTAGAGGTATGGGGGGCCCTGCTTCCAAAGTACTGGGTTATGTTCAGATGCTCTGCACACTCGTTACGGGGCTTGCTTTAAAGCAGGTGCTATAGCCTCTTGAAAGGTCTGGGAGCTAGAGAAAGCTTTTTATTTTTTGTTTGTATAAAAAGTGATCGTCAGGGGGCTGGGGATTTAGCTCAGCAGCATAAGCGCCTGCCTTGCAAGCAGGCAGTTGTGGGTTCGATCCCTGGTACCAATAAAAAGGAAAAAGACAAAAAAAAAAAAAAGTGATAGTCAAGTGACCCCCAAAGCCTAAAATACACATTTAGCTACTTCCAGTTTGATGACTCCTAAAAGCCTGTTGACTTTCTGGCACTGGCAGCAGTCTGTTGATGGACTTCACCGCTGAGCTAGGTCATTAGCCCTGGGTAGCTTATTAACAGATTTCACAAGAGGTCTATGGGCTTGGGAAGTCTAAGACCAAGATCCAAATGTGGCCTACAAGACTGCACCTTCTGTGTTCAAGGTAACACTGCAGAGCCTTTTGTTTTTGAGATAGGGTCTTGTGTTGTTAAGGCTGGCCTCAAACTCATGGCAGTCCTCCTGCCTCAGCTTCCCAAATGCTGGGATGCATGGACCGTGCCTTGCTTCCAACGCCTTTTTTTTTTTTTTTTTTTTTTGTCTTTTTCGTTTTTATTGGTACCAGGGATCCAAACTCACGACTGCCTGCTTGCAAGGCAGGCGCTTATGCCACTGAGCTAAATCCCCAGCCCCTCCAAGGCCTTTTTGTAAGGGGCACTGACTGACCGGAGAGCACCGCCTTCATGAGCACCTCCAAGGCCTACATCACAATAGTGTTTAGGCACGAAACACTACGTAGGTATAACTCTTTCCATTGCAAAGGCTGACATTAGCCTTAGGAGACACCCCTCTGAGGTCTTCTCACCACTCACTCCACCTCACCTGGGTTTGCTGAAGGCTTGAAAAGAGAAACCTTACCATGTGTTACAGAAATAGTGCACATTCTTGCTGATTCTTGGTTTTTTTACTATTCCGCCTAAGACATTCAGAAAGATTATCCTTGCCCATCTACCCTCAAACTAGAAAAACAGCAACCTTGTCCATGTAACCGAATTCCTTATTCATTAGTATGTTTACAAAATTTATCTTGACTACTTTCAAGGCCCTGTTAGAAAATCCCTTTATCGAAAGCTGTTACAGACCTAGAAAAAGAAAGAAAAAGCAATTCACTTTAGGACACCACAGGTAGCTAAAAATGCCAATTTCCCCGGCTGGCACCCTCTGGAATTGGCAGCTTTTAGATGCTGTGTGCCGCATTAGGCTCTTTTTATCACTGAAGAGCTCAAAAAGCTTTGCCAATTGGCAGCTCAGAAGGCTGAGCGGGATGCATCATTGCAGTTGGAAACAATGCCCTTCAAGGTGAAAATTGGTATAACCTTTTTTAGCATTGTATGACCCAATAACTCATCAGGAAGGAGTCAACTTTTACCTGACAGGTAAAGCCTAAGTCTAAAAACCCAAACCAGGAATATAGCCGCTGCCTTCCAGGCTAGGATTTATTCAGCTCCATTTGTACCTCCTTTTAGGGTGTCTTTCTAGGCCTACTTGCCAGTAGTTAGCATGCCATATTACACTTTCGTTAAATAATGCAACGACAGTTATCTAAGACCAAGTTCCTTGCCACTGCAAGTAAATCTTAATTGCCATCTTTTTGCACTTTTTAAAACTAGATTGGAGCTGGAGTGAGCCTTCCAGGAATCTTGGCTGCAAAATGTGGTGCTGAAGTGATTCTATCAGACAGTTCAGAGCTTCCTCACTGTCTAGAAATCTGTCGGCAAAGTTGCTGGATGAATAACCTGCCACAGGTGGATGTTATAGGGCTGACTTGGGGCCACATATCCCAGGATCTTTTGGCTGTGCCACCACAAGATATAATTCTGGCCTCTGATGTGTTCTTTGAACCAGAAGGTAAACTTTTACTCACTAATAAGTCTGACCGGAGGAACCACAGAATAAAATCCATTTTAAAAATGCCTCCCCCTCCTCCTTAGATTTTGAAGACATTTTAAGTACCATGTACTTTTTGATGCAGAAGAACCCCAAGGTTCAGATATGGTCTACCTATCAGGTTAGAAGGTATAGATCTGATTTACTTATATGTAATTTCATTAAATGCTAAAAGGGAAAATAGGCATTAAGCTTTAAATTTTTTTCCTTTCAGTGCTGACTGGTCACTCACAGCTCTGCTCTACAAGTGGGATATGAAGTGTGTCCGTATCCCTCTGGAGTCTTTTGATGCAGATAAAGAAGACATAGCAGAATCTGCACTTCCAGGAAGACACACTGTTGAAATGCTGATCATCTCCTTGGGGAAGGCCTCTGAGCTATGCCTGTAAGGTGTTACCTCAATCACTACAGCTTCCTGGCAAGATGGAATGAGCTGGAAGATGAACAGATCTGCTGGACTTGGGCTGTGTTACCTACACAACACTAATGGGTAACATTAACCATGCAAACTATTAAAGCACAAAGTAAAAGGACTTGAGTTATTCTTAACCATTAAGCATAAACCAGGCTGAGAAGGGGTTATTCACCACCTCAACAAAGTGCTAGCTTAGCAATGATGTCAGGGTGTCATCTGGCATTTATACTTTAATGAAGGAAAACCAGGTATTAGCATTTTTGTGGGCACTGGGAAATGGATCTTGGGGCTTTGCCCTTGCCAGGCAGGCACTGTGCCAGAGTTGTACCCCCAGCCCCTGTACTAACATTTTACTGTCTTTATGCTGTATAACATCCATGACGAACCTACACTATGTGCCGCATCAGGCTCTTATCACTGAAGAGCGTCAAAAGCTTTACCATCTATGGCTATACACCAACAAAAGTGCACATAACTTTCGAATAAATGCAAAAAGAGCACAAAGACATTCTATTAACACCAAGAAAACATTTTAATTAAAACTACAGAAACAATGGTTATAGTACAGAATATTCATAAGCAAAGATACACCATGTTTTAAGTACTTACAAAGTTACAAACCATTTGTTTCCTTAACAATTTCCATATTTTAAGTTCGTACATGAAGATGATCAGATTTACCATTTTGGGGGGAGTAGGGGGAAAAAAAGGTGTATTTATCACCAGCTAGATGTGCTCACTGTATGCTCCGTTATTTATATGCAAGGCCCGGGTGACTGGAAGTGCAGTTGACAGGCATTTTAATAAACTGGACAGCCATTTGTTTCTGCACGACAAGGCATCTTTACACAGGAGCAATCGGGAGAAAACAGGAAACAGCCAAGCACTCTGCACTGCAACACGCCACCTTAACAGCTAACCAGCATTACTCAACTGCTACACAACTGCGCCTAGTGCACAAAAATACACAAGAGAAGAGATTAGAATTGGGTTTGGTAAGCGGTCCTTTCAAAAAAAAAAAAAAAAAAGAAAAAAAAAATAAGAAAATAAGAAAATCAAGTCTTTTCACCTGAAAAGTCCTTATACAAATTTGGGTTCAGATTACCATTTAGGTCTGAAAGTCAGTAACATATAAACAAATTTACACTGACTTTTGTAGGTTTTTAATTTTAAGGAATGAAGGCAATGTTGAGTCAATCTCTTCACAGCTTTAGGCTGTGTGTAATGGCTGCACACGTTCCCTTAAAAGTCAGGAGGCCACAAATTAGGTTACCAATCTGTTTAATTTCAAACAAAAGAAGTCAGCACTATATAAACAAAAGGAAATTTTACCTCAAATATCCAATCCAATAATGAAATCTGAAGTCGTTCACCTCACTAAATTACAAGAAATTTGAATAACAGCAACAAAATGGCACATAAAATGAAGTTTGCCACCTGAGGCAAAGTTTAAAACAAGTAAAAAGTTAGACAAATGTTACAAAATAACCTTTTCAATAGCCAGTTGCTCTTTCCAAGGACTCTCCAATGGACCGATGGACTGAGTTCGTGGTCCTTTTTCCCAAAGTCCTCTGTTACGCTGCTTGCCGATTTATCTAGGTTTGAAAAGAAAAAAGTTCAGTTTACCTTCCCTTGTAAAAGGCACTAAAGCGCACATGGTTTCAGTTTTCAGGTATGTATTCACTAAGGCTCTGGTGAAACAAATGGGTTACAGTAAGGTTCCACCCAGCCATTAAGTTTTGAAAGGCCCAATTAGAAAATTTTCAAAATCAGTATTTACAAATTTGAAGTTATCATTTCTTGGCCAAATAACCAAGGTGGGGGGGGAGGTAGGGGTAAAAAGAAAAAGGGGGGGGGGAAAAAGGGCTGTATCCAAACAAAAGCAACGTGAAATTAGATTACATTTTAAGAAATCCTTTTCAAATGAAATATTTGGCAATCAAGGATGTTTTTATCCGAGCTATTTAGGGCCCTTTCCTTTTAAAAAATAGGACCAAACAATTTGAGAGTTAAAGACACACTATCCTTTCCCCACCCAGTGCAATACCTGTAGACTTTCTTTTGGCTTTCCAAAAGTTCATTGCTTCAATTGCAATTCCTTTGCCACATCCATTAGAATATGATGTCCCAGTCAGTACAACGATAGTTGAACTGATCGCTTTTGCTCTAACAGGATAGTGCATCTTTAACATTTAAAGACAAACCTGCTCCAATACACGCCCACAGAAACTGGTCCCTGGAGGATCAGCCAAATCAGTTAAAATCTGCAATACTGGCCAATATTCTTTTAGCAAACAGGAGACCGCAGCTTTAAAGGGGGAAAATGCAGACGTTGGATAAAAACAGCAAGAAATAATCATTTTCATTCATAGGTCTCAAAACAGTTCACGAAACAGCCATCATTATCTAAGCTTAGCACTCATCCTTTCTGCAGACCCCTCTTCAGCATCACTCCCAAAGCCGAGTCACTTCATAGCAGCACTCCCAACGCCGGAGTCACCTCCACACTAGCCGGCTACGACCTACTCCACTCCCCACTCTCGAGCCAGCCTGCGCCTCGGATCCCCGCGGGCATTACCATTCGCTCACGACGACACGGCTCCTTCCTCTTCGGGAGACTTGGGGGGGCTCTTGGACCGCGACCTGGACTTCGATTCCCTCTTGGACACTGGGGGCGGGCTCCTGGACCTCGACCTGGACCGCGACCGCGACCGGGACCTGGACACCGACGAGGACTTGGACTTGGACCTTCGCGCCGATCTGGACTTGGAGGTCGAGCGGGAGCGCGAGCGCGTGCGGGACCGAGACTTGGAGCGGCTGTAGCGGGATCGGCTGCGGGATCGCGATCGGCTCCGACTTCGGGACCGGCTGCGGCGGCGCCTCCGGGGGCTGCGGCGGGACGGGCGGCGCGGCACTCAGTGCAGCCCCGCGGATCCGAGCCCGCCCGCCCCGCCCCGCCCGCCCGCCCGCGCCGCCATTATCTCGCGGCCCGGCGCCATTTCCCGGCCGCCAGCGGGGACCCGCCCGCCCGCTCACCTGCGGCTCCGGCGTCCGTAGCCGCCGCCCCCGTACCTCCGGGGGGGCGGCCCGCGGCGGCTGTGGTGCGAGTCCGGCGGGCGGCCGTAGCGCGCCATCTGCACGCGCAGCTCGCGGCCGTCCAGCACGGCCCCGTCCATGGCGTCCATGGCGTCCTCGGCGTCGCGCTTGTCGTGGAAGCGGACGAAGGCGAAGCCACGGGACTCCTTGGTGTAGCGGTCCCGCGGGATGTACACGTCGCCGACGCGCCCGTACTTCTCGAAGACGCGCCTCAGGGTGTCCGGCGAGGTGCGGTAGGTCAGGTTATCAACCTTGAGGGAGGTCATGCCCTCCACGTCGGGAGGCGGGCGCCCGTAGCTCATGGCTGTGGAGCGGCCCGGGCCGGGAACTGGCGCCCAGACGCTAAGGCTCCGTGCGGGCCCGCACGCTCTGACGAAGCGGCGGCTTCCTCAGGTCGCGGCGGCGAGACACCGCGCCTCTCCCCAGTCCGTGTTGGTCCGCGTGGGAGAGGTGAAGGACAGGCGGGACGGCAGACGAACACCGCAGCCAGGCGCACCTGAGCAGCAAATGAGCTGGCGCCGGCCCTGCGGCCTCTTATATCTCCGCTCACAAAATGGCGCCCGCGCCACCCGGAAATGAATCATCTGATTGGCTCTCCTCGCCTCAACGTACAACGTCGCTCCCGCGCCGCCCGCTCCGCCCATTGCGCCTGCGCAGAGCTCGGCGGGCGGGCAGAAAAGCGCGCAGTCACGGCTGGTGAGAGGGGAGGAGGCGTTTGCAGGCGGTTGGAAAGCCCGCGAAACGCATTCTGTCGGCGAGGCAAGGCGAGAGCGCTCCGACTAGTGGAAGAAGGCGGTGCCCGTCACCTGGGCCCCGCCTTTTCCATGCTATTACCTAAGCTTTCGGCTCCACTTCTGCCCGCCTTTCCTTCCCGCCTTTGTCAATGGGATACCCCTATTCCTGTTGACTTATGTTCCCGGCTTCCTCAGGCCGCACCCCGTCACTCTAGACTCCCTTCCACAACTCTGGATGGGCTTTCGCGGGGTTTCATTGCACAACCTCCTTTGGCTAGATCACCGCCCCCGAGCCCCCAGAGGCGGTATGAGTTGTGGCGAGATCTTCGCATTACGCGTGCGCACACGAGCCGGCTGGACTACTACTCCCAGAGGGCGCAGCGGCCGTAGTCAGCTGACTTGTCCTGTGGCCCGCAGTGAGTCAGGCCTAGTGGGCGGGGCCCTGGGGCCGCTCAATTTGTCCTTGCTCCTAATCCCCCGCGGGCCCCTCAACCTGGAGCGGCTGCATTCTTGGCTGTCTTCCGGTGTTGGGCTCTTCCTTACTCGGATCGTGTCCCGGGAATGTCCTAACGGGGCTCGCTGGGGGGACTTCACTCCACGCCTGGATTGTGAATCGAGAAGTGGAAGTTGACAGTTTTGCTCCCGTGCTCCCGGATCTGCCTCTTGCCTTCGCGGTCTTGTTTGCCCGGGATTGTCAGTGGGCTTGCCCGGAGGAGAGCTGACCGTCCCGGGCCGCTGCTGACCTCCGGCAGAGCGGAGCCAAAATGTCCCCGGAATCCAAAAAGCTTTTCAACATTATTATTTTAGGAGTTGCTTTTATGTTTATGTTCACTGCCTTTCAGACTTGTGGAAATGTGGCGGTGAGTTGGAATCTGTTCTTCCTGTTCTTCAGCACTTCTTCCTGAAGTGCATGTGTCAGTGCATTCTGAAACGATTATAAACTTCGATGATATCGAATAGCGTGTGTAAATTGCATCTTCTGTTTTGTCACCTAGCCTTTCTCATGTTCTATGATGGGACTTGATTTCATGTCAGGTATTTCTCCTGTGTTAACGTTTATTTCTCCGATTTGATGTGGGATTTGTGTGTTGACAGTACTTTCTCCTTTTCTGTACTGAGCTCCGCGTTAATAGCCAGGTGGTTAAAGTAATAAAATCCAAGGTACAGGTGTGGTTGGTCGTCGCCGCCTTGCCAATCGTTGGTTTGCCTTCTCCAGTTCTGTCGCCCGTTTTCCTCTCAGACTGGACGTTTGGCATTAAGTATTGGATATTGCGAATCTTGACATCTTTCTGAGTGCTTGGAGTCGGTCTTTCAAAAGAGAAAAAGGATTTTTTTTTTTTTAGTCTTTTTCGTTTTTATCGGTACCAGGGATCAAACTCACGACTGCCTGCTTGCAAGGCAGGAGCTTATGCCGCTGAGCTAAATCCCAGCCCCTGGGAATAAGGATTAAAGGATTGCAAAACGTGTTTGTTGATTAGCTTTGTTTTCTATACAGCAAACTGTCATCAGGAGCTTAAATAGCACGGATTTTCACGGCAGTGGATATACCAGGTATTGTACTGTGTGCTTGATTTTACTTTGCATGTAATGGTAGTTGCTTCAGTTCCATCAGAATCACCATCAATAAAATACTGATTGACTTTAGGATGGCTTTTTTGTCTTCTCAGTATCTAGACTACAGTACTCTATTTGGGACACAGTGCGATTAAAGGTGATCAGGTTTTAGTTTCCTGTGAAATTAGATTGGGCTTTAAATCCCGGCTTCATAACTAGATTGTTAGGTTAGCCCAGTTTCTTTGCAAAGAGAGTGGATATAAAGCACTTGGCACAGTGGGTGACATTTAGTAAGTGCTCAGTATTGTCACAATTACATTTTCCCAATTCGAAACAGGCATTTTTTTGTGACTCTTAAGATATTTTGTTCTCCTGTGTTAGTAGTCGCCCAGCAATTATAATTTCATCAGAAATTTTAGGTTTTTGTTGCTTCGTCTCAGTTCTACAGATGAAAGTGAAAAGACCTTCACAAGTCACTAATACCTTGTGATTGTAGCTGAGAGTGCAGTGTGTATGTGTGTTTGCATACAAACAGATTTCTTTAAAAATGTAATTGGCAAATAAAATTATATATATTTATCTGTAAAACAGTGTTTTAAAATAAGTATACATTGGTGAGGATGTAGCTCAGGATTTGAGAAATTGCCTAGCATGCCCAAGGCCCTGGTTTCAAGCCCTAGAACTCTAAAACAAGTATAAAGAACACATTTGATATTTGAGAGACTGACCAAAGTCAAAGCATATTCTACTTTGAGTTTACAATATTGACTAGTAAGTGAAATCAGGACCCTCGAAAAGGTAAAAAACAAGATAGATGTAGTAGTAACTGAAAAACATTCACACGAGACCATTATTTTGAGTTAATAAATTTTGGATTAAGCAAGTTACAACTCCATGCTTGTTATTTATAGTAAGAAAGTATGCAGTTGCCAGAGGTTGCAGGCTAATTTATGGTGCAGCCTGGTTAACTTGAGCCCCTGGAGAAAGAGTGCCATTCACCAGCCACCAAACTGCTGGCAACATGGCACCTTCTGAGAGCTTCAGGCTTGAAAGAAGAAATATCTCTGCAGTACTTGGCCTAGCACGTGTTGTGTGGTAGCTTTATTATAGCCTGTCAGTACACTGAAAATGTTGTAGGCAACTGATTAAAAGAAACTTCTGAGGAGACTTCGATATTTTGTGCACGTTATTTAGTTTAAGGTGATCATAATAAATCTTGACTGAAGAATATTGCTTATCCTCAGGAACCTAAGTAGAGTTTTTTTTTTCTTTCTTTTGCCTTTTTTTGGCCATGCTGGTATTGAACACAAGGTTTTCTACATGCTAGACAAGGGCTGTACTACTGAGCTGTACCTGCAGCCCTAGATAGAGTTCTGCTAGTAGAATTTTTGAGCTGGAAGTGGTGGTTCATACCTATAATCCCAACTCTTGGGAGGCTGAGGCAGGATTGCTATGAATTCAAGGCCAGCCTAGGCCATATATCTATTATCTATATCTATATATTAAGAAAAACAGTGCTTAAGAGCTTTTTCCCTTTTGTGTGTTGTGTGTGCAGCATGGCAATTATTTATGGAGTGTTCTCTGCGTCCAATTTGATCACGCCATCTGTGGTCGCCATCGTGGGCCCTCAGCTCTCCATGTTTGCCAGCGGTTTATTTTACAGGTGAGTAGCACACTCTTCTTCCACTCACTTCCAGCATCTTCGAAGCCCATAGAAAACTTCACAAGAACTTGCAGGCTTAACATGAACAGAATAGAAGCTGGTATTTTAAGGCTCAGCTCTCTGCTTGTTGCTCAGAGGTACAGACCATTCTAACTAATGGGGTGTATGCAGGTCTGCTTCTGTCTTACTGTAATAAATAGTATCCAAAGAGCTCTTTTCATGAGGGTTGAAAAGTAATCTTTCCTTCTACCCAGCAAGTTGACTAATGGAGATTCCAGTGAAGTAATAAAATGCTCCTGAACTCTGGAGCTGCCCTCTGTCATTTACTAAGCTGTTCGTAGAGGCCACTGCAAACCTGTACACTTTTGACAAATTTGAAATAGGGTAAGAAATTAACAGGTTGATGGGCGTGGTGGCACACACCTGTAATCCCAGCACTCAGCAGGCTGAGGCAGAAGGATTGCTTAGATTTCGAGGCCAGCCTGGGCTACATAGTGAGCTCAAGGCCAATCTGAACTACATAGCAAGATCTTGTTTCAAAAAACAACAAAAAAAGGCAAGTCACATTTGTCCCTTTTTTCAAAGCCGAGGAAGCCGTTTACAGTTGAATTTTAAGAGGAGAACCTTCAGAAGTGACTCCTAGAAGGATACTTGACATTCTGTTTCAGGTATCATTTGACCGTAATACGTTGACCTGTTATATTTTAGCATGTACATTGCCGTTTTTATCCAGCCTTTTGCCTGGTCCTTCTACACGGCGTCTGTGTTCATTGGAATTGCGGCGGCTGGTGAGCATTTTGATTCTACCTGTTTCCTGGTCTGAGGGTGTCATTGGTGGGCTCAGCATGTAAAACCGGTCACTTCATTCCCTTGATAAACTTCTGGTTTGAATTTTAGTACTTTGGACAGCGCAAGGAAACTGCCTGACAATCAATTCAGATGAGTACACTATTGGGAGAAACAGTGGAATTTTCTGGGCGCTCTTACAGTCCAGGTAATAACCCTTTGGAATGCAAGGTGTCGTTTCTTTTTTGGTCCCATCACTTACTAGGTGTTTGTTTCATTGAAAATTCAGGTCTTCCATGTTGTATGCCTTATGTTCCTTGCTGACTGCAATACAGATTCAGACTTTTATAGATGCTTAGAATGCAGGAGACTACCTCATTGGAACATAAGATTACTAGCAGAAATATTAACTTGCATGTTTTTAGCCTCTGCTGTGTTTCAGGGACTGTTGGATTCTACATAATTTTACAGAATCCCCACGTGAGTTGAGAAGGTATTCATTCTATGGGTGAGAAAGCAAAGACTAGAAGGAGAGTAACTGAGCCAGTTTATACCATCAATACCTGGACTCCAGCAGCCGTGACCTTCCCATGGGGCCTCACTGCCTGGGAGCTGTTAGAAAATACATTAAAATTTAGAGCCAAATCTACACCAATGCTGAGCTGTACCACACATTGCATATTTCCTAGGAGGAAGGTGGAACCCATCCTGCCCAAGGCTGTTGGGTTTCAGAAATCCCAGGGCTTTACCTTCATGGATCCTTGTCCAGGAGTTTGGCTTCAACAAGGCTTGGTAAAAAACATTTCATTTTCTGGAGTTGTAGAGCAGGAAATGGTAGTATAGATGAATGCTTCCTTCCCTAGGAGAGTATGCAAAATAAATACCTGTTCAGATGCAGAGAATGGCTTAGTTTAGATTTTTTTCATAGCTTCTTCAAAAGACTTTTAAAAGTAGCATAAGCTTGTTTCCAGTAATCATTTGCTGAGTGCCACTGAATCACGTCTCACAGTGAGTCAGGGCCGTGCAGGGGAGGGCTGCTCTGAATCAGTTTACATCACATGCAGGGAGTCTGAATTCTGTCTGGCTTGGTTACTTTCTCAGAAAGAGGCTGGCGCTGAAACTTTGAGGTAACCTAGGGCAGGTAGTCTATGAATTGCGTCCTCTCTCTTTCTCAACAAAGTATTGTCTTTGAAAACCATAAGTATTATAATAATTTCTAGCAACCTCTCTCCCTTCTCTCCCCTCAGCTTGTTCTTTGGAAACCTCTACATATATTTTGCCTGGCAAGGGAAAACCCAAATATCAGGTTTGTGTTACTCATTGTTTTGTTTAGATATGTTCAAAGTGTGTTTGAAGTGCACAGAAATGTCACTGGTGCTTTAGTCAAGCTTTGTCCCGATGAACTTTGGTACCATGTCTTCTGGGTGTTCGCATTTGGAAGCCTTCTCCTGGGTTTGATGAATTAGACTCGCATTGTAGATTAGGGATCCCAGAGTGTGAAGAAGGGCATGCAGTGAATCACCAGGAAACACTTGAATGCTCAATTTTGCTGGCCATCCAGTTCTTTGACTAAAATAATGTGATTGGATTTTTGTGCTATTTTTCTTTTGGCTTGTTAGTAACTCTCTAGCTAAAGGACAGAAGTGATATCACCTCTCTCTAAATTTTTACTGATGCATTAAAATAAATATTTAATGAGGAAGTATTTTGCCCCTTAGAAACAATCTTCAACATAATAGTAACTCAAGGTGAGTGTGGTGGCACACACCTGTAATCCCAGCCCTCTGGAGGCTGAGGCAGGAGCTTCCCTGTGAGTTCCAGGCCATCCTGTACTCCACGGTGAGTTCGAGGTCAGCCTGAAGTACGTAGAGAGACTCTGTTTCAGAAAGAAACCCCAAATAATTATGATTATTGTCATTGAGGAACTGTCTACTCCATGCTATGTGTTTTTCCTCTTTCCTCTCCAGAGAGTGACCGGAGAACAGTGTTCATTGCCCTAACAGTGATTAGCCTCGTGGGCACCGTTCTGTTTTTCCTCATTCGGAAACCAGATCCTACAAATGTCCTTGGAGAAGATGAGTCTTCCGATGACCAAGACCTGGAAATCCACGAGTAAGAAATGGGGAGGCAGTCGTTCTCCAGTTCAGACAGAGCTGCAGGGGATCCAGCCCAGCGGGACCAGCCTGCCTGTCCCCACTGCTCGCTGGTTGTCTGCTGGTTACCACAGGTAGACAGGCGGGGAGCGCGTTCGGACAGAAAAGGAAGGAAGGTGAAGGGGGAGCATGAGGAGGAGGAAGGCAGAGGTCACCTGAGAAGGGCGAGAGAGCAGGGTTTGCAGGAAGCAGGGCTGCGGCCAGTCTTGCCTGACGCTGCGTGACCCGGCAGTGAGAGCCTCTCGTCTCCAGGCCTGTGTTTCCTCGCTGCTTCAGCAACTTCTCGTGTGTTTCCCGCACAAGGACACGGTGATAAAGTGAAATAGAACACAGTGTTTGCCCGAAGCTCCTGTTTCTGTCAAGCCCTCAGGTTCCTGTGTTCCTCAGGTTCCTGTGTGCCCCACAGGCCCCTGTACTAACCGTCCAGGTGGTTTCCCCACTTGGGAAAGCCCCACGAGCAGCCTGGCACCCTGTGTTTCTGTGAGTACTATAAGTTACCTGAGCATTTCCATGGCAATGCTGTTCAAAACATCACGGTGGTCTCTCTGCTGTCATCTAGGTTTGGGTAGGAAAAGAGAAATCCTTCTTTGCCACCCTCATTTTGTCTTGTGAATTGATAATTATGTGGATTGTCCCATAGCTTTTAATGTGTTAAAATTTGTGCACTGAACATTCTATGTTGCTTTTTCCATTCAAAAAAGGGCCCAGACGCTCCAGCTGTGGAATCACATGTGAATCACTTAGTGAATACACTAAGTTTGCCTTGTTTATTTAAATCAAGGGAGAAAAAGCTGGGCGTGGTGGTACACATTTGTAATCCTAGCATTCGGGAGGCTGAGGCAGGAGAATCCTTGTGAGTTTGAGACCAGCCTGGGTTACAAAGTGAGCTCAAGGCCAGCCTAAACGGCATGGCAAGACCCTGTCTCAAAAAGACAAAAAATAGATAAATAATAAAATAAAGCAAGGGAGAGGGGGATACTTTGGGTGCATGTATGTATGTGTGTTTACACATGTATGTGTTACATATCTACACATGCAGACAGTTATGTGCTACATAACAGCACCCCAGTCAGTGACTGACTACATGTGTGACTGGGGTCACGTAGGAGTCCATCACCTGTCGAGGACAGTGGTGCAGTTCCTGCGAGCACGCTCTTGATGTTTGCATACCGAAGACACCTGGGGACGTGCTCCTAACAGTGCCAGCCAGTTGTGAAGTGACAGTCGCTGTCTACTGGGGAGGAGAGGATTGCACACCCGTGATCGGTGCCGTTCTCAGCAGACTGCTCACTCCACTCTTAACTCATCTCCCAAGCGCCGAGGTTCTGTATCTCTGTTCTCTGAATAACGCCCCTTGTGTGGCAGTTTTTTTTAAAACCACAAAGCAGCAAGTTAAGCTGTCCCTGTTCCCGTGGGAATTCCCTTTACAGTGGGCAGGATGCATGCAAGGAGGGGCCACAGTGAGCCTTCGGGGGACCTGGAGGAGGGCGGGTGCCGAGAGTCGGGTGCTGAGGGGAGCGGAGAGCTGAGGCTGGCATTGCTGGGTCGGCAGGAGAGGACGAGATAGGCTCCTGCTGCTAGAGAAGGTGGAAGGCGCCGGAGCAGGGAGCAGGAGAGGTGTGAGAGGCAAGGTCAGGGTAAAAGCCAGTGAGGAGCTACGGTTTACCCGAGGTCTGACTGGCAGCCATGGGAGCTGTAAGTGGAAACTGATACCCAAAGATCCCTCTTAAATAAGGCCGTTCAGAAAATGGTATAAAGCTGCAAATAGCAGCGCAGCATCCCTCCTTCATCTCAGGTTCCTTTCTGGTTTCTTGGTTTCTTTGACAGAATCATGCTTTGTACTATAGGTTGGCCTTGAATTCACAATGAGGTGGCCTAGGCTGTCCTGGAACTCCTGACAGTCCTCCTGACTCAGCCTCCAAATGCTGGGATTGCAGGCATGTACCACCATACTAGGAAGCAGTCTGTGGTGGTGCATGCCTGTAACCCCTGCAATTTGAGAGCCTTAGGCAGGAGGGTTGCAAATTCAGTCTCACCTTGGGCAATTTGGCCACTTAGCAAGATCCTATGTCAAAAAATAAGAAAGGTCTGGGAATGCAGCTCAGAGCGAAGGCTATGGGTTCAGTCCCAGTACTGGAAATATCAGTTAATGAATAAATAATAAAGATCTAAGACGACTAGACATGGCTGGTAGGGCAAAAAATTGTAATCTTTTAAAAACTTTCAGCTCACTGTGGTGGTGCACCCCTGTACTCTGAACATTCTGGAGGCTGAGGCAAGAGGATCACCTTGAATTGAGGCCAGCCTGGGATGCATAGTGAGTTCAAGGCTAGCTTGAAATATATAATAAGACTGCCAGAAAACAAACAAATAACAAAACAAAACAAAATATCTTTCTCACCATGTTACTATCAATTATCCTTAAATTTAAAAAGATTATACGTAAACTACATTATCTCACTTAACTCCTGCAGCCAGGTGGTACAGTCCTTATTTTCCAAATGAGCGTGCAGGTGCCTGTTTGTAATTCTGGCACTGGGAGGCTGAGGCAGGACGATTTTAAATTGGAACCCAGTCTGGGCAATTTGGTCATTTAATGAGACCCTGTCTAAAAGAAAAAGTTAAAAAACCTGGAGCATGGAGGCACATGCCTGTGATCCTAGCATAGAGGGTGAAGTTAGAGGATTACCATGATTTCCAGGCCAGCCGGACTACATAGTGAAACTGTCTCCATAAAAAATAAAAATAATTGGTTACCAAAGGACTAGGATGTAACTTAGTACAAGGTTCTGAGTTCAGCCTCTGGTACCACAAAACACACAAACAAATGAGGAAGTAAGACTTAGAGAAACAAAGACAGTTACTTTTCTCATTGCTGATGCAGAATACCTGGTGCCAGTGAAAGAAGGAAAGGTTTATTTAACTCGCAGTTTGCAGAGGTTATAGCCCGTTTTTAGCTGGCTCCATGGCAGGGTGGCACAGCAGAGGAGCATCTCAGAGGAGAAATGGCTCATGGCGGGCAGAAGGCAGCAGAGCAGCAAGGAGGGCCCCAGCGCTTAGTGCAGCACCGTAACCTAGTACCCTGCCCCCAGCACTGCACCATGAATCAGTCCCAGCGTCACACGCTCTAGATGCAGCCAGTGCTGAAAAAACCCCACCGATGACCACATGAGGCTTTGGGGACATTAGAGACAAGCCAAAACACACCTAAAATATTACAGCTATTTAATAAGTGATAAAGCCAGGGCTTCGACCCCAAAGCCGTATTTCCAATGGGAAGATAATTCTGCATCCCAACCACGCTATGCAGAATGGTTATTTTCTTTGTTCCTTTGCTTGTGGGCAGCACTTTAAACCCAGTCTGTAAAGCAAGGATCTGGGCCACGCAGGATCCCCCGGCTCACCGGGTGCGCTCATCAGGCCGGGAGCACAGAGCTCTCTGAACTGCGGTGAAGATGGGCTGGACATGTAGTAGCTGGGAAGTATTTTCCTCTTTGATTTTCAGTAAGAAAAGGTTATCTTCTTTTATTTTCCCAGGTCTGCCCAGAACAATATGACTAAGGCAGTGGATGCGTTCAGTAAGTATTCTCTGCTTCTGAAATGCAGGAACCTCCAGCCTTTGCCTTCCCCTTCCCCTGGGAACTTTGGATTGAGGCCCTCAGTGTTTCCCTGCTGCCAGAAGCACCACTCTGAATACCTGGGCTCTGCTCCATAAATGTCTCGGTGCGTGGGGGTGGAAATGGGGCCGCCCACCCCAACAGGTGCGGAGGGTGGGAGCCGAAGTGTGCTGGAATCTCCTGGGTGGGGAGCACACAGGGAGTTTGGGGGAGCAGGCAGGACCCAGATACTAATAAAAGAGTCATCCCCATCCACCAAGAGATCCCCAGGCCAACCGATTCTCTGCGACTCCTGATGGAGTTTCCTCTCTGCAGCTCTTCCAGCTCTGGGAGTATTCTGTTCTGCAGCTGTTATTACTAACTCTGTGTTAGAGAGGAGAGACAGAGGCTTAGAGAAGCTGAGAGGCTTACCCGGGGTCATCTGGCTGGTGGGTGTAGGCTGAGCTGGCACTGGAGACCACGCTGTGATGGGGACCCAGGAGTTGTCAGAATGCACATCTGAGGTTCCTTCCTTCCTACAGCTTCTGCCCTTCGCCTTAGCTTCTTTGTCTGCCCTGGACAAACTCCTCCCCATACAGGTACGCCCCACCAGGAGCAGGATGGGCCTACACAGGTGCCTCTGGCCCCCAGGACCCTGATGGTTTATAGGTTGCCTTGGGCTAGTGGGAAATTCTTTTTTTTTTTTTTTTGAGACAGGGTCTTACTATGGCTCTGTAGTTCAGACTGACCTTGAACTCCCTATGTAGCCCAAGCTGGCCTCTCATGGTGATCCTGCTGTTTTAGCCTCACAAGTACTGGGATTACAGGCATGCACCATCAAACCCAGCTAGAAATTCTTGATCTAATCATCTGTAGCCCAACTCTGAGGATGCTAGCAAGCTGCCTTAAGGAAATCCTGCAGTCTTTTTAGTTTGTTTGTTTTTTCGGGTTTGTTGTTGTTGTTGTTGTTTTGGTACTCTGAATCGAACTCAGGACCTGCGCCTGCCGGGCAGGCACTATGCTATAATCCCTGGTCATTCCCTTTTAGGAAGGGCCGATAGGTGTGGGGGTCTGAACCTTGCACACAGAATACATAATGGCACCAGAGCTGTTGTGTTTGTTTTTTGTACCTGGGATCAAACTTGGGACCTTGCACTTGCCAGCCAGTGTTTATGCCACTGAGCTGTGTCCCCAGCCCACCACAGCTGTTTTATCCAACTTTATTTTATACATGAATTGTGTTTCAGGAATGCACTCATAACATTCACTGCACTACTTAAATGGAATATAGCCCGATCCCCCGCCAAGATGGGCGTCACCACCATTCACTGTCTGGCTTTTGGTTTTGCAGGGCTAGAAACTTGTCTGTCAGAAGAGCTGTTATTGCTCAGAGGAATCAGGGAAAGTGACTCTAATAAAACTCAAAAGAAATTTCAGTATAACAAGTGATGAAGTGAGCCCTTTCCTGGCAATTCCTTGCTTGTTCTCAAGGACCTAGAAAGCCCTTTGGCTTCACTTGGTGAGTTTGCAGTTAGTTAGAAAGGGGGCATAGGTGACTTCCCCTTTCCAGTGGTCCCCAGGAATGTGAGATGCGGTTCAGCTGCTCTGCTCCGGAGCACAGCAGTCCCGCTGGGCTGCGGAGGGCTGGCCGACTTCAGGATTGCCTCCCTGGGCCGTCCAGGCTCTGCTGTTCTCTGCGTGTGAAATGAGACCCAGGCTTCTGTGGTAGATCAGTATCTTGCTGGGTTCCACCGGGGGAGGAGGACAGGCTGGCAGACTGGCACAGAGGAGAAGGCAGCAGCCAAAGAAGGCAAGGCGAGCGCATGCAGCATAGCAGAGGCCTCAGAGTAGCGGGGTGGGCGCAGGGTGAGCTCTGAGGTGGCCAGCGAGCGGCAGGGCAGGAAGACGCACGAGGCTTTAGGTCACCGGTCTGTGGGCCAGGGTTTGGGTTTTTGTTCATTAATCAATCCTGACAATCCTCCTGAATGTGCTATGAGGGGGACTGTGCAGAGACTGTTTCTACTTACCAGCTAGAAATGCTCAATTCCCACAGTCATTAGATAAATTTGATGGTGTTCTGGAGCATTCTTGTGAGGTTTTTAAAATTTATTGAGTCTTAAAAAAATGAGACTAAAGTTCCTGTGCTGGGATAAATGTCTGAAAACAGCCATGAGCATCTTTTAAAAGGAAGTGAGAAATTTATCCTGATAATCTTTAAAGCATATTATGAGTTGATGAGAAAACACTGGCATAGCAAGGCTGGAACAGATTCCAGGTCACACCCAGGTGTAAACTCACACCCATGTATAAACATAGATGCAGCCCTTGTGAATCTCAGGTCAGGCCAGGTAGCTTACTGCGTAGCAAACCACAGGTTCCCAAGTGTGTGGTGACTATTGCTATAATGCCTGCATTTGGGGGCCTGAGGCAGGGGGAAGACCAGCCTGAACTGCATAGCAAGACTATCAAAAAAGCAAATGAAAGGAAAGAAAAGAAAAATACAGGCTCCCTATTCACTTCCTGATGGAACTCCAGCTAAAGATTAAAAAGGAAATAATGAGAATAATTGGAGAAAATGCTGGGAAAGAAAAATGCTGGTGCTGAGAAAACTGGGTTTCCGCTGCCAAAGGTCAAAACTAGACCCGTACCGTTCACCATACACCAAACTCAAATCGAAATGGATCGAAGGTCTAAACATTAAAACAGAAAACACTGGCCAGGAGTGATGGTGCATGCCTGTGAAGTCCTGGCACTCAGGAGGCTGAGGCAGGATCACTTCAAGCTTGAGACCAGCCTGGGCTACAAAGTAAGTTCAAGGCCAGCCTTGGCTGCGTAGTGACACAACCCTGTCTCAAAAAGACAGTAAATAAATAGAAAGAAATCAATAACCAGTGCTGGTGGGGCCCTGGGGAAAAAGGAACCTTTCTCCACTGTTGGTGGGAGAATAGATTGGTGCAACCACTGTGGAAATCAGTGTGGAGATTCCTCACAAAACTAAAACTAAGAGGTTCCGTTTGATCTTCCCAAAAGAATTAGAAGCATCAGACCTCAGACCTGTGTGCACCCATGTTTATAGCAGCACAGTCTGTAATAGCTAAATTTTGGAAACAGCCCAAATGCCCATCAGCTGATGAATGAGTAAAGCATATGTGGGGTTTTTATGCAGTAGAGTACTATTCTGCCATAAAGAGGGATGCATTTGAGACATTCTCCTTAAATGAGTACACCTTCTTGTTCTCTTAAGTGAAATAAGTGGGGCACGTGTAAATGCCACATTGTTTCTCAGGTATGAGGAACCAAAAGTATAAATAAGGACCAAAATGTATAATAGGTATTGTGAAATAGGAAGAAAAAAGAAGAAAAAAAAATGGAAACAAAGCTTTTGTAGGGCTGGGCATGGTGGCGCACGTCTATAATTTCAGCACTTGGGAGGCTGAGGCAGCAGGAGTCTTCTAAGCTAGAGGCCATTCTGAGCTACAAAGTGAGTTCAAGGCCAGCCTGAACCATGTGGTGAAACCCTGACTCAAAAAAGACAAACAAACAAAAAAACAATTTGTAAGTAAAGACAGGAGTTGAAGGGAAGGCAGGGGAATGGGGAAAAAGCAAGCGGTACGTACAGGTGCAGAGTCCCTGTGATTGATGCATGCGGTTATCGTGACATCTAAAATGTACTGATAAAGGCTTGAAAATAAGCACAACAAAAAAAGAAACACCTTGCAAGCAAATCAAACAGTGAAAGAAAAAAAAGATTGCTGACTAACTTTGTAGGAAATGTAAAACCTCAACATTTCCTACAAAGTTAAAACAACAGGGAAAGTATTTTCAGTGTATAATGAATAACTTTGAAACTGATAAAAACATAAATGCTCTGGGAGAAAAAAATTATAACAAAGTACAAGAAATGCAAATTGGAAACTTGTATTGAATTTAAAAGGTAAATAGTGCTATTATAGGAGGTGAGTCTTGACATGTAATTATACAGACTTACAGAACTTTCTTAAAAGGTGATTTGTCAGTAGATAGCAAAAGCCTTACAAATGTTTGTAAATTCTGGCCCAGTGGAATCATCCATTTTACTAATAGGATCATCCTTAGGAAATAATGACAGACTCTGCAAGATTTAACTAAGATGTTTATATTGGTGAGAAACTTGAGGTGATATAATTAGCCAACAGAGAAGCGTCGGTACATCTGTATGAAAGATGAGCTGTGGAAATGTTCTGTATAGGACGGGCGTAGTGGCAAATTCCTGTAATCTCCATATTTACAAGGCTGAGACAGGAGGATTGCAGTGAATTTGAGGCCAGCATGGGCTACAGAGCATGACTATCTCAAAAAAAAAAAAGTCCTCTACAAATGTTTGAATATCTAGTACGTAAAAACAAAACTTTAAATAGTTCGGTGGATTTTGGTTTTATAAAAAGAAACAGAAAAAGTCTGGAAGGCCGGGCATGGAGACAGACACTCATAATCCCAGCACACAGGAGACTGTGGCAGGAGGATTTCTGTGAGTTCAAGGCCTGACTGAGCTACATACTGGTAGTGAGTTTGAGGCTGGGCTGATCTACTAGGGAGGCTCTGTTTTGAAAAAATAACAAAACAAAAATTAGGAAGTTGATTCATTAAGGTGTTGATATTCTTCACTGAGATAGTTCACAGGCCATACTATTCCCCATTTTAAACCACTTATACAATTTGATACAAATTCAAGACAGTTTGCAGTAGTCATGAGTGAGTAACCAGAGCCAGGTTTGGTGACGCATACCTGTAATCCCAGCACTCAGGAAGCTGAGGCAGGAGGATCCTTACAAATTGGAGACCAGCCCAGGTTACAAAGTGAGCTCAGGTCCAGCCTGAACTGCAAAATGAGACCCTGTCTCAAACAGGAGAGTAAGTAACCATCACAGCAGTCTGCTTTGGACATTTGATCGCTTCAGAATCTGTCCCCCTTCAGCACCCCTTCCGGTCCCAATCTACCTTCTGTCTATAGATTCACCTGCTCTGGGTGCTTCGTTTCCATGGAATCCTACATTATGTGGTCTTTTGTGACTGGTTTTTTTTCTCCTCCATAGCATAATGGTTTAACTTGTTAAAAAATGCGAGTTGTTTCTGTGTTTTCAGGTGCTACTCTGAATCAGTATGCTGAGTGTCAGTGTTTGTGTGGACCTTGCTGTGTCTTTGGGTAGTGGCTGCTGCGGGTTGTCCAGCTGCGGGGCGGGTGCCCTCTTACGGCACACCCCCGGGAGGAATGGACAGCTTGGAGTGCCAGTCTTCCATCCCGAGTGGGCGCGGCAGAGGGCTGGCACTGCAGTGTCCTTGTGTCCTAGTGGGAGGGGGTGGCTCAGATTTGCATTTCCCCGATGGCTTGATGGTGTTGAGTGTGTTTGGTTTGCCCGTAGGCTATGTGCATCTATCTTCTTTGGAGAAATGCCTGCTTGGATTGATTTGGCTTTTTTTTTGTGGTGGTGGTGGTGATGGTGGTTGCGGTACCAGGATGGACCCAGGGTCTTCACACTGAGCTACATCCCTAGCCCTTTTTATTTTTTACTCTGGTTTTTTTTTTAATCATTTTTAAATTGGGCTGTCTTTTATTATTGTGAGAGTCCAAATCATATATGTTTACACACACACTTGCAAATATTTTTTTTCCACTATATGGGCCACCTTTTGTTTTCTTGATGGTATCTTTTACAATGCAAGTTTTAAATTTCCAACCCAGCTTTACTGGGACGTAGTTCACAAATGAACATCATGTGTATTTGTGGTGTACAGCATGATGTTTTCATCCAGGTGTGTACCGTGAGGTGATTATCACCACCAAGCTAATTAACATGCCTGTCCCCTCAGTGTGTCTTGTGTGTGTGTGTGAGACAGTGAGAGAGAGAGAGAGAGAGAGAGAGAGAGAGAGAGAGAGAGAGATGAGGGGATGGGGCCCCACTCCTTTGCATGGCTGGCTGTGCCGCAGAGCATCAGTAACCGGGATCCCCAGGCCGTTCCTTGGGGCCCTGGTCTCATTCACCCTGCCTGACGGAACCCAGCACTCTGATCCATCCTCTCCTGCTGCCCGCTGGCAGTCGTCACCCTCTTGCTTCTGCATTCTGCTCTTCCCGATTCCACGTGTAAGTGGGTTGGGCGATATTCGTCTTTCCCGTGTCTGGCTTATTTTGCATAGTGTGGTGCCCAGCAGGCTCCTCTTCTTGTAAGGCTGGCTAATGTTCCTCTGTGTGTCTTGTTCCTCTGTCCCTGTTCCTCTGTCAGAAGACTCTTGGTTGTTTCTGGATGCCAACTGTTGCCTGTGACGCCAAAGCACACTGTATCATAGGTGTTTCTTGAAGAAGTGAGACCCCTGGATTGTGTGATAGCTCGTTTTTAATGTTGGGGAACGGGCCTGTTTCCGCAGTGATTTTAATTTCCATTCTCACCACAGTGTACCAGGGTACCCTTTTGCCCACGTCCTTTGCAAACACCTGTTATCTCTTCCCTTTTGATAAAAGCCATGCTAACATATGCAAAGTGGTATCATGGTCTTGATAAAAGTTTTTAATTCTGATGGCATCTAGTTCTCTTTTTTCTTTTGCTGCATGTGCTTTTGGGAGCCCGTGAAGTTCTTGCTTAACTCCAGGTCATGAAAAGTCAGTCCTCTTATTTTCTCATAAGAGTTTCATAGTTCTGGCTGTTACATTTAGGTCTGGAAGCATTTTGGGTTATTTTCCATGTCTGGCCCGTGAGGTAGGATCCAGTTCTGGGCCTGTGGATACCCAGGTACCCCAGAACTGTTTGCTGAAGAGTTCACTCTTTTCCCATTGAGCTGTGCTGTCCCCCTTGTTTGAAAATCAGCTGCCCATGAATGTAAGAAATTATTTCTAGGAACCTGCGTCAGTCCCTGTGCTGGAACCATGCTGATGGTTGGAAAGCGTGAGTGCATTGCTTTTGTTCTTTTCAAGACCATTTGGCTGTTTCAGATCCCTTGAACTTGCATGTGCATTTTAGGATCGATTAATCGATTTCTGCAAGCAGATTTTGTGTCTGTGGGTGTTAATAGACTATTTTTAGAGGTGTTTCAGGTTTAGAGCAAAATTCAGCAGAAAATAACCTTCCCTTATTCCTCCTCTTCCTCCACACACCCAGCTTGGCGTACCTCATTGCCTGCTGCTGGGGTGGTACCCATCACAATGGGTAAACCTTCGTCGGGGCATTATCACCCAGGAGCCGTGGTTTACACTAGCGTGCATTGTCAGGATCTGTACGTTCCATGACTTTGAACAAATGTGTGGTGACTTGCATTAGCTGTGAGAGTAGCATGCTAAGTAATGTGTTAGAATTTCTTCATGAGCAGAATTTTCTGATTACTCTAAAGAGAATATGTTTTGCTAATGTTTTTATAAATGAAAAATGTTTCTAAAACTTTGTATTGTTTATGTGTTTCTCTTCTGAAAATACTTGGAAAATTCCTTACCACACTATTGTCACTGTATATTTCAGTGAAGTTAGAGGGAAAAAAAGCCTCCTTTGCATATGGAGAGAATTCAGGACAGAGCTTGTGACCCACGTAGACTGGCAAGGCCAGTGGTGGTGGAAGAGCCAAATCCACAGCCACATACCTAGTTTAGCAGCGCGGGTCCACGGCCCTCAGCTTGTAAAGGGTGAGCAGGTTCAAATGCGAGGATTTTGTAAGTGCATTCTCCATCGTACATTTCCACACAATCCTACACACACGGCAGGCACTGGGGACAGGCTCTGAGGTTTCAGCTCGGGCTCCCGTCGAGGCCTGGGAAGGGACGCCCAGCTTCCCATAGTCACATAGCTCCCTGGCCCGGTGACTCTGATCCCAGCTACAGGACTGCTCCATGGTGACTCCTGGGAGAATGGCGCTTTCCCGGTGCTGACCCACTTGGCGGTGTGGCTTTAGTCCTGGCTGTGGAAGTCCTTGGTTGTTTTGTTCCATTCTATTTTTTCCCTGCTTTTCACACTGCAAAGTTTTTTGAGGAAAATGCAGCTCAGGAATATCTTTCAGCTCTTGGAATAAAGATTTCATTTTTAGGCAGATGCAGTTTGTACCTTAAGCATTTTACTGTGAAAACTAAACTTTTGCAAAGTATTTGATTACGGGCATTATTGACAAGGGGTGTTTTGATTGAAGCAGTGTATTGAACTTCGATTAAACTTGAGTTAAACAGTCCTTTTGATGTTGTTTGTTTGTTTTTACAGAAAAGTCTCTTAAGCTGTGTGTCACCAAGGAGATGCTCCTCCTTAGTATTACCACTGCTTATACAGGTAAGGGCATTGTCATGCTGGTTCCCTGTTGTTGTGTAATGACAATAAGGACTCAGAACAATGGCCGTGTCATTATTTCTGGCACTTTGGTGCTTTGACAGCACTCAATGGCATCACTTGGGGTCTCCTCAGAGTGCTTTCCAGGGGCAGCTGGGGCTAGAGCTTCCAAGACAGTTTCATTCCTGCAGCTGCTCCTTTGCCAGGGCTGGCAGGGGTGGTCTGTCTGTCCATCCCTCTCTCTCTCGGAGTCTCACAGTCCTCACAGGACCCCACCTCTGCAGAGTTTCATGACCAGATAGGAGAGTGAGACTTCTTAGTTAGTGGCTAAAGGCACCAAAAGGACAACAGGAAAATAACCAGGCCAGGGCCAGGGATTTAGCTTAGCGGCGTAAGTGCCTGCCTTGTAAGCGCGAGGTTGTGAGTTCAATCCCTGGTACCAAAAAAAATTTTTTTAAGAAAACCGCCAGACCTTCTTGAAGGTCCAGCCTGGGTCTAGCCCAAGTTCACCCCTACTGCAGTCTGTTGGTGACAGCAGATCCCAAGCCAATCCAAGTTCTGTGTTGGAGGATTCTGCACAAGGGCAGTAATGAGGGCTCCTGTGATTTTAAGGCGACAAGCCCCTGTAACTTCATATGGACTAAGATCACTCTAATTGAATAGAAGCTTGGGATAACATGATAGGAGAACAAGCAGAACACTGAGGTTTTAAGCTTGATGAAGGCCAGGCATGGTGGTGCACACCTGTAATCCCAGCACTCAGGAGGCCAACACAGGAGGATCACTGCAAGTTTGAAGCCAGCCTAACTACTACACAGTGAGACTGTCTCAAAAAAAAAAATTATGAACGTGTGTTCAGGCATAGTGGTGCATGTCTGATATCCTATCCCTCAGGAAGGGGAGGCAGGAGGATCACTGTGAGTTTGAGGTCAGCCTGGCCTATACAGTGAGTTCAAGGCCACCCTGGACTACATAGCGAGACTCTGTCACAAAAAAGACCAAAAAAAACAAAACAAAAAAAGCAATGAAGAAATTCGTTCTTTTAAAAAGTGACATGTCGATTACTGTTCCTACTTTTATGTGCCTCATCTTTTTAGAAGAAAAACAGTGAGCACTGATACATTCCTGCCGGTTTGAACTGCTGGTGGTATGGGCACGACTGTCTTATGGGGCAGCTTGTGCCACTGGTATACGAGCAGATCTAATCACTTTCATCACTCTTTTTACTAATAAAGCTAATGAAAAGTCAGCAAAAAGACCCAATCTAGTTAGCTGCATGGGTTTGAATAATTACTGCCCAAATGTAAAAATTATTTATTTTTTTATTTTTTATTGTTCGCCTTTTGGTCTTTTTGAGACAGAGTCTCATCATGAGTTCAGGCTGGCCTTCAGTTCACTTTGTAGTCCATGCTGGTCTCAGACTTGGCACAACCCTCCTGCCTCAGCCTCCCGAGTGCTGATCCACAAGCATGTAGCACCATGCCTGGTCCAAATGTAAAAATTAATACTATTCAAGACCAACTACACTAATCAATAAATTTATCTCATTAAATTAAAATATTTATATTGGTGAATTTCTTGCAAACATTATACATGTTTGACTTTTTTTTTTGTACCGGGAATTGAATTCAGCACCTCACATTTGCCATGTAGGTGCTATGCCACTTGGCTGTATCACTGGCCTGTGTGTGACCTTTCTTTAGCAGTCCCAGCAGAACCCATTTTTTCAGTTATCCCTAGGGAGGTTTGTAAATCTGGCCCCTGGGATTTAATCATCTTCAGATGTACCTCCAGCCACAGTTCTGTCCTGTTCTCCCGTGCTGACTCCTTCAAGGGCCTGGCCCTGTCTGACTGCCTAGGCTGTTTCCGCCTGACTCGGCTATCTGTAACACCTGTGCTGCCAAGGATTCCAGCTGATGGGTCAAATTCCAATCAGAGCCACCTGGCAGCCAGACAAGAATTATGGCCTCTTTATGAATGTGTTGAACATCTATAAAATTCGCAGTTAAAGTTTTGTAGCATTAAGGGATTTTTAAAAAAGTGTTCTACTGATTTACCCTAATTGTAGGATTTTTTTGTTTGTTTGCTTGTTTGGTGCCAAGGATCAATAACCTCACTGTTGCCTGGCAGGTGCTTAAGCCACTGAGCTAAATTCCCAGCCCCTGTTTGTTTTTTAAACAAGGTCTTGCTATGCAGTTCACGTTGGTCTTGAGCTCACTATGTAGCCCAGACTGATTTTGAATTTGCTTTAATCCTCCTGCCTGAGCTTACTGAGTGCTAGGATTATAGGCATGTGCTACCACACCCAGCAGAATTTTCTTTTCCTAGAAAAAAAAATTTTTCAGTCCAGGGGTTTAGTGACTGGCACAAGCACCTGCCTGGCAAGTGTGAGGTCATGAGTTCGATCCCAGGTACCAAAAACAGAAAAATACCCGTTTTTCATTGAAACATGATGTTTCTTGACAGTGGCTAGTATGTCCTGGTTCTCCAGTGTGGTAAGGATGCAGTTACCCTAGGAATAGGGATGTTCCCATTCCCAGTGTTCACTGTTAGAAGTTTGTCCTCTATCTATCCTCAGCCTGCACAAGAGTGACGGGCTTTAACATGAGGATGTCTGTTTATTGGAGATCTGTTTTAATTGAAATAGGTGGCAGCTGCTCTCTTGGGCTGTCTTAGCTCAAGCTGCTGGAACAAGCTGACGCAGACACAGATGAGGAGGTTTAAATGTTACGTGCTTACTTGTCACGCTCCTGGAGGCCGGGGAGCCTGAGCCTGGAGAGGCAGCCCGGGCCGGTTCCGGTGAGGGCCTCTTCCTGGTGTACAGACAGCTGTTTTCCCCTGCGTGCTCACAAGGCAGACAGGAAGCGAGCCAGAGGCAGCTCTCTGGTGTCTGTCTTCAGGTTAGGGCGCTCGTCCCACTGTGGGGGTGCCCCTCCTAGTCTGATCGCCTCACGAAGCCCCTATTTCCAGGTGCCACTGAGACAGTTAATTCTGTATGAACTGCTCGAGGTCTCCCATGTGGAGGAGGAGTGAGGCCACAGACCAAAAGGAGGAAGTGAGAAGAGTTTTTATTGGAAATCCGTAGGAAAAAGCAGGATCCCAAGAAGGGACCCAAGGAGTGGAAACTTCTCAAGGGCCTTGATCTGGGTCTTTTGATGGAGAAGAGGAGCACGGGATGGCTCCACTGTTGAGGGCCCCCAGGATCACAGGTGACTCTGCGAATTCAACAGCTTAGAGAAAAAAATGCTTATCTTGTATTTTAAATTCCTCAAAACTCCGGACTGTAGTAGGGAGGGGCAGCATTCCATTTGGCCTGAGGACTTTATGCTGGCCCGAGATCTTCACTGTGGCTCCTGTTTTCATTCTTATCAACAGGACCATGTTGTCAGGACCGTGCCTTAGCTGGCTGCCTGTCTGTAAGCTAACTAAATGAACTCATTTTTCCATATGATGGTCTGATTTTTATTTATTTATTTTTTGTGTGTGGATATTGGGCATTGAACTCAGGACCTCATGTTTGCCAGGCAGGCAGAACCACTAAGCTCTATCCCCAACCCAATGAACTGTTTTTTACACCATCACATTTGCAGTATTAGGGATTTTTAATTTTATTTTATTTTATTTTATTTTATTTTTTATTTTTTGCCTTTCTGAGACAGGGTCTCAACTTTGAGATCAGGCTGGCCTAGAACTCAGACTCAGAACTGTCTCTGTGTCCAGGGCTGCCCTGAACTCACTGGGTAGCCTGGGCTGCCTGGAACTCATGGCTTTCTTCCTGCCTCGCCTTCCCCAGTGCTGGGATTCCAGACATAGGCCACAGCTCTGGGCCGAGGACTGGAGCTCTAACAAAGGAATTTTGGAGGGACACCAGCATGCAGTCCTTAGTGTGTGGCTAGTTCCCTTTCATCAGTTATTAGGCACAGAATCATGCTTTGTTTGGGAATATCTCAGCCTCAATGAATTTTGTTTTATGTGTACCCTTTATGTATATATATACCTGAACTACCATTAGACGTGAAAAACCAGGAAAAGGGGCATGTGAAGGTAAGGTTAAATTAAATCTGGCTTTTTCTTTGAAGGTCTGGAATTGACTTTCTTCTCTGGTGTATATGGAACTTGTATTGGTGCCATAAATAAATTTGGAACAGAAGAAAAAAGCCTCATTGGACTTTCTGGTATTTTCATCGGCATTGGAGAAATATTAGGTTAGTTTTTTTTTTAAAGAAGCTTTTGAATATTACTTTGTTATAATTAAAATGCTAGGGGCTGGGGATTTAGCTCAGTAGCATAAGTGCCTGCCTTGCAAGTATGCGGTCGTGAGTTCGATCCCTGGTACCGATAAAAATGAAAAAAGACAAAAAAAAAAAAAGAGAGAGAGAAAATTATAATTAAAATGCTAATGTTATATGTATTTCCCTGTCCTTGAATTTTTGTTTCTCTTATTTTTTAACTAAACAGGATTGTTTTGTTTTTCTGTTATCATTATTCTTTTTTTTTTCCTTTGTCTTTTTGAGACAGGTCTCACTGTGCAGTTCAGGCTGGTCTTGAGCTCACTTTGTAGCCCAGGCTGTTCTCAAACTCACAACTATCCTGCCTCAGCCACCTGAGTGCTGGGATTACAGGAGTATGTCACCATGCCTGGCTATTACCACTATTCTAAAATAAGTAAATTATAAAACATTTACCAGACGCCTTACAGATGGAAAACAGAAGTCAGCAAATACCACCTCCCAGTTCTTCCTTTTCAAGCAGGATGAGTCTTACCCTGCCACAGACTGTGTGTACAAGGACCCAGCATTGTCCTGACACCAGCTCTCCAAACCGCTGTTGAATAACAAAACCACAGCAGTTCCATTTGAAGATCTCAACCTATTTGATTCGTTTCCTAACCCAGAATAAGTGCTCTCATGGACTCAGCACAAGAGACTGGTTTTGATAGAGAAGCCCTGAAAAGGCAGAAACAAAAAGCAAAAAGCGATTGGGTCGTTCCCGAGTTGCTTTCCTCGTGAGGCAAGACAGAGACGAAGGATAGGAAAAGTTCCTCCAGCTAACTGCAGGTTACTTTGTGAGGGTTAAAGGGTACAAGGATTAAAACTGGAGGGACCGCTTTGCCTGCTGTTAGAAACTTGTGGCCCCCTCCCCCTTGTGGCCTGATCAATTCCTGAAGAACTTGGATGACTCAGGAAGATGCTATACTCACCGAGGCAGTTTATCATGAAGGCTGCCGTGAACAGCCCGGAGGGTGGGTAGGTACAGGGCTAAGGCTGAAGGCCCCCGGGCGAGGTGGCTGTGTGTGGAGTTAGTTACAGCACCCTCCTGGGGTGGAGGTGTGTTCAGTGCCAGAGGCTCTGACAACCCTGGGGCCTGGAGGTTTCCTGTGAGTGCTCTGAGATGAACGCACCGCTGCTGTTGGTGATGAGCTGCAGTCCTTGCCCCTCTCCCTCCGCAGGGCGGGCAGGGGAAGCTCCTGAAAAGCCGTCCCTCACTGAGACACAGCCGTCCACTTCTTCTTCCCACTGAGCTGTATCTCCAGCCCCCCTCCCTTTTTGTTTGAAACAGGTTCTCACTGTGTAGTTCAGACCGGCTCAAACTCACAGCAGTCCTCCTGCCTCAAGCTCCCAAGTGCTGAGGTTATAGGTGTGCACCACCTGCCTGGCCCCAGCCCTCTTATCATAGGGTCTCACTGAGGTGTCTGGGCGGACGTGGAATTTGTCATCCTCCTGCAACAGCCTCATGAAGTTCTGAGGTTCCAGGCATGTACCTCTAAACTCTGCAGCTAGCTCTGTCCAGGGCCAGCCCTTCCCTCTCCTTATCATAAACCCAGGAGCACTCTGGGAGTGTCACGGCACAGCTCTGATCCCAGCAGTTAGGGGCTGAGGCAAGAGGATCACAAATTGAGCAATGTAGTAGGAAAAACTCTTATCTCAAATAATTAAAATACAGTTAAAACAATTAACATTTTAGAAAACATTAGGGAATATAGTTCGGGGTGAAGGCCCTGGGTTCAATCCCCAGGACCATAAAACAACAGCAAAAATGCACTCTTGTACTAAGGAAATTCTGCAAGTTAGGATCTCTATGCCAAGAAATGGGGCCAAAACCAAATACATATTTCCTTTTATAATACCACAAGGTAAACCTTGCTCAACCAAGGGTTACCCAGCACATGCAGTTTATAGAAGCTGTGGTAGTCATGAGGGATTCAGCAGCTTAGCAGGCATGTGCTGTGCGTCTGTTATGTCAGCCACACAAAAGTTCCTTCCCATTTTTGAGCCTGTATAACAATTAAAAGCCATAGGACACTGTAGGGAAGACTCATTACTGGGCTTCAGGGTGCTAGAGTGTCCTGCAGGTGGTTTGTAGGTTCTTCTTGTCCTGAGCAAAGACTTGGTAAGGAGAAGCACAAACAGTAGCAAAGTTTTACTAAAGGCAGTGAGAGAAACAGGTTCTGCAGAGCTATTTTGGGCCAAGTAAGAGCAGGGAAAGAAGTGCACCCCACCCGTGAGAGGGGCTGCCACATAGAGAGAACACAGTGGGAAAACAACCCCGCCCTCGGGCTGAGGTTAGGTCCAAGCCATGTGTGGAAACCTGTTGGTTCTCTCAAGAAGCCTGGTGAGGGAGGAAGCTGTTCTGCCCTTGTGTCCTGGGGTTTTATAATAATCGGGGTACGCCTGCTTCTCCAGCCAGTTTTACCAGTCCCTAATCTCTCTCTCTTTTTCCTTGGTACCAGGAATTGAACTCAGACCTTGTATTTGCCAGGCACTGAGATATATCCCCAGTGCGCCCTAATCTCTGTGTCTGCAGACTGGTGTGGTGTGTGTGTGTGTGTGTGTGTGCCATGCGGTTACATGGATCAAGGCCACAGAGGGCAGTAGTGAGCGGAGGCCAGCGTGACATCCTCCGGGAGAGTGTGCAGGGCCTCTACAGTTGCCATGATGGGGCCTGGGAGATCCAGACACCAAGCACGGTACCGTGTCCAGTGGGAAATGCAGGACGGCTAGATGCCCTGGAGAAACTGGGCCACCATTTCTGTCATCACCATAGGGCAGAATTTCACAGGGGCGGGCACATCACCCTGTCCTGTCGGGTCAGGCCCCTTGACAGCACCACACCATCTTCTGTCCAGTGGGAACTTCCTTTCAGGGTCAGGTGATGTGGGGGTTGCTTACATCTGTCCTGCTGTTGTGGAAGATTTCTACAGCTTGTCTTTTATGGTACTGATACTCAGTGTTTTTAGTTTTTATAATTTTGGTTTTGTTTTTATTTTTTTGGTACCAGAGGTTGAACTCATGACCTCGCACTTGCCAGGCACACACTTATGCCGCTGAGCTATATTGCCAGTCCCTGTATTTTTATCTTTAATAGGTTAGGTTAGGTTGTTTTATTTGTGCTGGAAATCAAACGTGTGGCCTCGTGCTTGCCAGGCAGGCACCGCACCACTGAGCTACATCCTGGGCCTTCTCTGTGATTTTAGTTTCCCTTCACACCCTAAGAACACTGGAAGCACCTCCGCTGGTGATTGTCCCCTGGCCCGATCTTGGCAGGCGCAGAGGAAATGACTTTCCAGCGGTGGTGCCCCACCCCATCAGCCCTTGGTGACCCCTCCCTTCTCCCCGTGTGTACCTATAATTCCTGTTTCTTCCCAATGGTTTGTCATCATCACTGCGTTAGTTACTTCGGTGCTCGAGTTGTCCCAGCTTTGGTTTGTAGGGGTCCTCTCAAAGCAGGCTTCTGTACCCTGTGATGTGCCTCTGCTGCTGTCTTTCTCTTTTCTTTTCTTTTAGACAGGATCTTGCTACGCAGTTCAGGGTGGTCTTGAATGATTTTATAGCCCAGGCTGGCCTCAAACTTGCAACAGTGCTGGGATTACAGGCGTGTGACATCGCTCCTGGCTCCGGCCACTTTTTGAGTGTTTGTTTACATCTGATGTGTGGATTTTTCCTGGCTTATCGAGTGCTCACCCTGGCCTGAGGTTTGTCTCTCCACGGGGCCCTGACTCCTTCAGTGGGGATGTAGCACTGGGCTGTCACAGCCATTTAGATGTCATTGCTTTTTGGCTCTTTCAGTGGACAGAGCTGGGGAAATGCATGCACACACACACACACACACACACACACACACACACACACACACGCACACACTTTTTTGAGACAGGATCTCACTATGCAGCCCAGGCTGGCCTCAGACTCAGGGTGATCCTCCTGCCCCAGCCTCTTGAGTGCTAGAATTATATACATGTACCACCACACTTGCCACACACCTTAAGACAGTTACTGATATTTTTTGTTTTCTTTTACAATGGTGCTGGAACCACGGATACTAGTGTATCTTTTTTTTTTTTTTTTTTTTTTTTTTTTTTTGGTCTTTTTGTGACAGAGTTTCTCTATGCAGTTCAGGCTGGCCTTGAGCTCACTTTGTAGCCCAGGCTAGTCTTGAACTTGCATCAATCCTCCTGCCTCAGCCTCCCGAGTGCTGGGATTACAGGCATAAGCCACCACGCCCGGCTATACCAGTGTATCTTTCGAGCTACATCCCCAGCCCTTTGAATATTTTAAGTTACAAGCAGCCCTCAGTCTATAGTTTGCAGGTCCTTCAACCTCTGATCCTCCTGTCTCAGCCTTCCAGAGTGCTGAGCTTATAGGGGTGTGCTACCACATCTTGAGTTCTTCCCTTATTTTGCTGAAATTTTGAGTCCTAGCTCAGTTTCTCTATAAACTGGACATGGTGGGGTATACCTGTAATCCCTTGGGGGAGGCCAAGGCAGGAGGATTGTCGAGAGTTTGAGTCTAGCCTGGGCGACTTAGTGAAAGACCCTGTCTCAAAAATTTTTTTTCAGATGGAACTGTTTTTCTGAACTCCATGTTGGGAATATTTCCCCCAGTTTGCCACTTGTCTTTAGCTTTTCCTATGGTGCTTTTTTCCAGAGTTGTTTCTTTTGGTACCAAGAATCGAGCTCGTGACCTCACGCTGGCCAGGCAGGAACTGTGCCAATGCGCTGTATCTTTGGCCCCAGCGTTTTATTTTTTATGGAGTCAACTTTACCAGTGTTTCATTTTTATTGCTCCTAGATTTTGAATTGCAGTTAGAATGCTGCTCTTTACACTGCTGCTCTTTGCCTCGTTTTTCCTTATGTTTGTGTACTTACGAATGTCGATCTCTGATTGATTTGGAATTTGTTCACGCATGTCTTTTTTTTCCAAACTATTGCTTGGTCAGTTTGATGTATAGGTTTGCTGGTGAGGATTTTCAGAGTCACGGCCTCCTTGCCCACTTTGGGGTAGAAAGGCGTCATCTTGTGCCTCTGAGGCGTCGTGAGCTCATGTGCATGCAGAACCTGCAAACCTTTCCCCCGCCCTTTCACGACTGCACAGAGCCTGCCCTTCACGGTGGCCCCTGGCCTTAACCGTCTTCCCTGCTCTGCCCTCCCCTTCCCGGGAAGCGTGGCTCTTCCAGCTGTGATTGTAGCAAAAACAGGACAGTAGCAGACAAGTGGTATCTTTTCTGTTTTGTTATAATTGAAAGAGGATGGACCAGACGAGGAGGCATATGCCTTTGTGTGCCTGTAATTCCAGCGCTTGGGAGGCTGAGGCAGGAGGATCACTGCAAGTTGGAGGCCAGCCCGGGCTACTTACTGAGTTCAAGGCCAGCCTGGACAGTGTAGCAGGACCCTGTCTTGGAAAAAAACCAAAGAGGATCATTTTGAGGGTACAGAAATTTAAAGACAAGAAAAGTAAAGAGATTACTGAATAAGATCTAAGTAATTTGGATGTCTTACTTTGTGTTATACTAGTTGATGTGTAGCGCTCATTGTCTACAAGTGTGAGGTGTTGGCCCTCAGAAGATACTGTGTAATGGATGATATTTATCCCGCAACTGCTGGATTATATAATTCAACATTGGTGATGCTGTGTAATGCGTTAGTAATTTACTAATGTTTCTGCTATGTTCATCTGTAGGTGGAAGCCTTTTTGGCCTGCTGAGCAAGAATAACCACTTTGGTAGAAACCCCGTTGTGCTGCTGGGCATTCTGGTACACTTCGTGGCTTTCTATTTAATATTCCTCAACATGCCCGGGGATGCCCCCATCGCGCCTGTGGAGGGAACTGACAGCAGCGCCTACATCAGGCCCAGGTACCGTGGCTGCCATTGTTCCAGCAGCTGGAGGACAGTGGCCAGATGGCCGGTGTGTGGAGTGAAGCCCCAGTCCTTTCAGAGAGCCTGCTACCTTTACAAGCTCGTGTTAGTAACACAGGCCCTGTAAAGAATCCCTGGTTCTTTTTGCAAGAGTTGCCTGTAACTTTCTCCCTACTGCATCTTCGTCTTTCCCCTCCCTCATCCTCGTCCTCCTCCATCTTCCTTTTTCCCCTCTGTCTTCCTCTTCCTCCATCTTTTTCTGGTTTCTGTTTGAGACAGGGTCTAACCATGTAGGCCTTGGACTTGTGATCTTCCTGCCTCAGCCTCCTGAGAGCTGGAATTACAGGTGTGCACCATCACACCTGCCAGCATCTGCTTTTTGAACAGTGAAATACCCAAAATGAGGGCCTGAGAGAGAACAGAGAGGAGCAGGGAGTGTGTCAGCTGCCATGGCCGGTCCTCTGAGGCGGCCCCCGAAGGTGTTGGGGATGCGATCGTGGATCCGGGTCCCCGTTCCTGGGGTTGCAGAGTGTTTAGATCTGTGAATTTGAGAGAGGCTAAGCCCAGAAGCAGTGTTGGTTCCCCAGACAGGAGCTAAGCCAGGACTTACTGAATTTCAGTATGAAGTGTGTGCACTGAGCTTAACTTCTTACTGTGGAAATTTTACTTCGGGGCCAGGGGTGTAGCTCAGGGGTAGAGCATTTGCCTAGTACTGAGGCTCTGGGTTCCAGACTAGTCCTGAAGAAAAGAACTTACAGATTCTATTCATTTTTTATTTCACCCGGAGGTTTAGCTCAAGCGGGGTAAGTGCCTGTCCGGCAAGTACAAGGTCATGAGTTTGATTCCCCGTACCAAAAAAAAAAGATTGGTTCAATTCATTTTTTATTTCTTTATTTTTTAGTACTGGGGATTGAACTCAGGGCCTTGGGACTGAGCTACATCCCCAGCCCTTTTTTTTTGGAGATAGGGTCTTGCCTGTCTGCCTGTCTTGGCTCCCAGGCTGGCTTCAAACTTGAGGCATTTCTGCCTCAGCCTGCTGAGTGCTAGGATTATAGGTATGTGCCGTCATACCTGGCCAGCTCTTTATTTTGAATTAGGGTCTTGCTGAATTGCCCAAACTGGGCAAGAATTTGGGATCCTCCTGTCTCAGCCTCCTAAAATGCTGGGATTACAAGCATACACTGTTGTGCCTGACTGTTCATTCTTGTTGGTTATTTAAAACTTTAAGATAATGTGCTTTAGTGGCTGTATTGTTTTTACATTTTAAGTGGCTTTAGCAAATATTAGTACTTCTTACACTAAATTTTTCTTTTCCTCAGCAAAGAAGTTGCCATTCTCTGCAGTTTCCTGTTGGGGCTGGGAGACAGCTGCTTTAATACCCAGCTGCTTAGCATCCTGGGCTTTCTCTACTCTGAAGACAGTGCACCAGCCTTCGCCATCTTTAAGTTTGTCCAGGTAACCTCTTTGTCCTCTTCCTCACGCTTTGCCCTGTTTTCTCTGGTAACTAGTATGATGGCCTTTAAATTAGAGTTGACAGCCAGGCGTGGTGGCACATGCCAGTCATCTTAATACTCTGGGAGGCTGAGGCAGGAAGATCTCAAGTTCAAGCACAATCTGAGCAGTTTAGCAACCTGGGGAGACCCTGTCTCAAAGAAGAGCTGGGCTGCAACTCAGTATGAAGGCCCTGGGCTCCATTCTCAGTAACGAGAGACAGAAAGAGGAGAGGAGAGATTGCAATTTGGAGACCTCCTTTGAAAGGGTCTGTGAAGTCAGACCTAGTGGCAGATGCCTGTAATCCAGCACTTGGGAGGCTGAAGCGGGAGGATCCCTAGCAGTTTGAGGACAGCTTCAAAGTGAGTTCAAAGCCAGCCTGATCTACATGGCGAGATCCTGTCTTAAAAACACAAAATAAATGAAAAGGTCTGTGAGAGAAGCCAGGAACACAGGGAGAGTGGCCTCCCTGCTGGGAAGCAGTTCCCACTCCGTCTCCTCCTCAGCACGGAGACTTCCTCCCTAGAGGCCAGAGCCCCCCGCCACAGGACAAGCGAGTCGCTCCCTGCTGGGCTCCGGGCTCCTCCGGGGTGGGGGCGGCCGTCGCAGGCCCCCGTGCAGCTGCCCTCTTCTGCCCGCAGTCCATCTGCGCGGCCGTGGCCTTCTTCTACAGCAACTACCTGCTGCTTCACTGGCAACTCCTGGTCATGGTGGTGTTCGGGTTCTGGGGAACGCTCTCCTTCTTCGCCGTGGAGTGGGACGCCGCTGCCGTGGTGGCCCGGGGCTCCGACTACCGAAGCATCTAGGGAGCCGTGCTCACCGCAGCCCGCCGGCGGGCACCGACCATGGCTCCAAGCAAGCAGACGGACCAGCCAGCCAGCCAGGCAGCCTCGCAGGTTGCAGGGCCGGGACTGAGGCGCAGAAGGGAGGTCTGCGGTGTCAGCCACAGGTGGCCCCAGGTCCCCTCTCATCATGTTACCAAACGGGAGCTGCCCCGCCGGCTCCGCGCTGGATGCCAGGCGGGCGTCACCCAGGACTCCCAGGTACGATTGTGTTCACTATGTAGTAATCAGAAGCATGTGCTGCCCCCTGTTATCTGGGAATGACACTCAAATAAACTGAGAAGCAGTCAGAGCTTTGGAAAGATTTCTTTTCTCATGTTTATATTCAGTGAGTTTTCTTAGCAGTTCATAGCAGTGAGAGACGGATGGGTTGAGTGATAAAATGAGGTGAAATTGTCTCAGGTCTTAAAAGATGACTGTAGTAGTCTGGGGGAGATGGCACAAGCCTGGAATCCTAGCACTCAGGAGGCTGAGGCAGGAGGACTGCTGAGAGTCCAAGGCCAACCTGAACCCTGTTTCAAAAAGACCAAACAAAACAAACCCCCAAACTATAGCATCTGGAAATAAACCAAAAACACACTTAGAAGAAAGAACACGGGGCTGGGGATTTAGCTCAGCGGCATAAGCACCTGCCTTGCAAGCAGGCAGTCATGAGTTCGATCCCAGGTACCAATAAAAAGGAAAAAGACAAAAAAAAATGAAAAAACAACACACTTCCTGGGAGAGGGTTTCTGATAGAAATTTCCCTGAAAGACGCAATGAAGAGAAAATCCCATCCCATGGTGGGACCTCATTTCTGGGACAGGGTGCCGTCCCGTGTGCCCCGTGCAGCAGTGTTGTTGGGTGTCCTAGGCCTGGGGCTTGAATGTCACTATTTGGGAGTCATTTACATGCAAATCTCCCCCACCCCAATCCATTTTATTTCAAGGAGAAAAAGAAAAAAAACCAAAATTTCAGAGCACATTACATGCAAATCTGGAGGCGGATGTGGTTTTGCGATCTCCCAGCAATCGGGAGGCTGCGACAGGTGATCACTGGAGAGCAGGCTCTGTCTCACAAAAACAAAACAAACAATGCTTGCATCAACTTGTTACCGATAGAGCGTACTTAAAAATTTCTATAATTGAGACATCACTTAGAAGCCACATTTCCCATTTTATTTTACTTATTTTATTTTTGCACGCTGATGTCTTTTGAGACATTTCCAATTTTAAAGCATACAGTTTAATTTTATTCGTGTATTCACAGGTTGTGTTGCCATCACCATCTCTGGAAGACACCCCCCCCCCTTAGTGGTCTCTCCTCGCCCCTACCCCGGTGGGGCTGCTCCCCTTTTTTCTGTCCCCAGCTGTTGGCACACTTTCCCTCAGAGGAGGGCTTGACCAAGGGTGATGTTTAATCCACGAGCGAAGTTCTACCGTAGAAGTGAGTCCAATCCAGAGGACAAAAATTTTAGGGCATCTATAGTCTGCTTGAAAGCCTGGGGAATACAGAGCAGAGTGGCTCACAGGTACTTAATGTCCAGCTGAGGCCAGGGAGTGAGTAGACCCCCTCGTGAGCCAGGATCCTTAGAGAAACCTCTCCCACTCCAGGTCGTGAGTTTCTAGTTTTTTTTTCTTGAAGTTGATATAACTTCAGTTGTCCTGTCCAGCAACTTGTGCGTCAGGCATCCTAGAGTAGCTGAGCTGGGGCCTCACTCGGTCCTTGTGTCAACGGGAGTCAGTTCTTGATGGGCTGTAGAGCCCAGGGTCTCAGTTCTGTGTGGCCATTAGCTGGAGATCATCCTGTGTCCCTTGTCACCTGGAGCTGTCCACGGGACAGCCTGTTCAAGCATGAATCAGCTGTGATAATTCCGGGAGGCTGAGGCAGGAGGATTACAAGATTGAGCCCAGCCTGGGCAATTTAATGACCTTAAAGAGACCTTGTCTCAAAATAATAAACAAATAAATACAAGGATGGGGATGTGGCTCAATCCCAAGTACCACCCCACCCCAAATAGCAAGCGTGGAAAGCCAAAGACAGTGAGAGGAAGGTAGCGTCACCGCCCTTGGAATTTCGCCTCCCTGTGCTCTGCTGGTTGACCAGGATCACTCTTTGTAGCCAGCTTCTGGAGCAGGAACTGTACCACGTGTGAGTGAGGACCCCTGGGGCCGTGGGCCAGGCTGCCCACACTGAACAGGGAGAGGGCAGGCCCCACGCCCCAGTTCCCCCGCTGCTCATCCTGTGTCTCTGCAGCTGTGGCCAGAAAGGGCTCTGTAGCGCACGGGGTGACTCTGGGTGTCTCAGTCCAAGGAAGCTGTCCCATCACCACTGTGGGAGTGAATGGTGAAGGGAGGTGAAGTGGAAGAGAGGCGCTGTGGAGGGGTCAGGAGCCCAGCTGCTTCTGGGCGGCCTCCCACTTCCTGTGTGCTGCTCTAAGTTTTGTTCTCACATCATTTTGTTCTCTGGAGTTTTGATATTACTCAGCTTTTATGTCTAAAAATAGTGTTCATTTTGGGGGCCGAGATACCCTGATGACATTAAGGCCACATGTAAATTCCCACCCTCCCTTACTTAAAAGTGAGACAGCCCGGCATGGTAGCACACGCCTGTAATGGTAGAACTCAGGAGGCTGAGACGGAAGGATCCCCATAACTTCAGGATCCGGCTGGGCTGCAGGGCAAGTCCAAGGTCAGCCTGAAGTACATAGTGAGACCCTGTCTCAAAAAACAAAAACAACAGAAAGACTTGCAGATCTTCAAACCCGGGCTCAGACTGTTCATAGCGAGGGTCCCTTTCCTCTGGGAGCCTTTGCTGGCTGGTTTGGCTTCTCTTACCATAGAGCAAATCCCTTGGGAGTTTTTAAGTGCTATGGATACAACTGAGTTCTAATTCATAGTTACAAAAAATTTTGAGTGCTCACACTGATGAAGGTAGCTAATAAACAGAAAAGCCTGGAAGGTAGTCAGTGCTGGCAAGGGTGTGAGGATGTGGGGAGCCGGGGGCCCAAGGCCACTGTTGGTGGGAATGTAGAATGGGGCAGCTGCTGTGGAAAAGGGTGTGACAGTTTCTCCTGAAGGTTAGACTAAAATGACCACATGAGTCAGCAGTTCCCCCCCCCGCGGTACCTACGCAAGCAGTGACCTGGGGAGATGTTTGTATGCTCATGTTCTGAGTGGCGGCATTCACAGAAGCCAGAAGGCGGAAAGAATTTTAAGTTGTTCATCTGTGGATGAATGGAAACACGAAATTCACTTTATTCATGTGATAGAGTGTTGTTCAGCCTTACAGTGTCTTTGTCAGCCGGGCATGGTGGCTCATGCCTATAATCCCAGCACTTGGGAAGCTGAGGCAGGAGAATCATTGTGAGTTGGAGACCAGCCTGGGCTACAAAGTGAGCTCAAGGCCAGCCTGAACTGCATAGCGAGACCCTGTCTCAAAAAGACAAAAAAAAAAGTCATTGTCTCAAAAAACTAGGAATAGGATTACCAGGTCCAGCAATACCACTTCCAGGTGTGTTCCCAAAAGACTCAAAAGCAGTTACCTAAGAGATATGTATGTAACCCACGTGCACAGCCCATTCCTCAGAGTGGGCAGCAGCCACTGGGATGGGATGGATGGATGGGATGGATCACACGGTGGGATGTGGGTTACCCTCTGAAAGGAGGGGGATCCTGGCACATGCTCCAGCATGGGCAGACCTGCAGGGCATGAGGCAAAATGGTCACAGAAGGTTAAATACCTTGTGACTCCACTTCATGGGGTTTTATATCAGATTTATGGAGACGAGAAGTAGACTGGTGGGCGGGACCCGTGGAGACTTAGGGAGTCAGTGTGTAATGGGGGTGTGGTTTCAGACCTCGTTATTAAGATGAATGTTGGTGAAGCTTGCACAGGAAGGTGAATAGTAGGGTCCTGAAGGGTACCCATCAGGATGGTGAAGATGGCAAGTTTTGTGAGCATTTTTCATGACTGCAAACAAAATACTTCAGGGAGCTCCATGAGTGCCTGTGTCTCGGCACCCAAGAACTCCCTCTAGAGTCGCTAGAAGGATTTTCAGGACTCAGCATATAGTTGTGCTCACCTTTTTGGGGTTGGGACCCTGACGTCCCCTAAAAGCCCATTGTGCTGAAAGCCAGTTGTCAGCTGACAGTTGAGTTGCCTGGATCATGAGGGTCCCTGGTTTCATCCAGGGGTGAGCTCATAACTCTGGGCTCACTGGGAGGTCTCGGGCCAGCCTGTTCCTCTGTGGCTCTTCCTTTCACTCTGCTGCTTGGCTGCCAAGGCCTGCTGCCATGGTGTCCTGGCTGAAAGCTCTGAAACTGTGAGCCAACATAAACCTCCTTCAGATCAGGAATTTTGTCCCATTGATGGGGGGCTGACCACCTATGGCAGTGATGTGGCAGGCTTGGGAGGAGCAGGACCCAGGCAGAATCTGGAGGACCCAGGTGCAGGTCTCCCGTGCTCACTCCATCCGGGCGCTCACACAACACTCTTCCAGGCGGGCAAATGCAGCAGCCTGTGTGCCCTGTGCCTGCTCAGGAGGGCGCATGAGACACAGTACCCAAGGGTTTCTCTGGGGGCTGATCCCAGAGGCAGCCCCTGCCAGGCCCGTCAGAATCCAGGACTCCCGGAGGGAAAGTGGATGTCTCTTTAGCATATGCCCTGTGGTTTGCACTGACCTACTCTTCCTTTGTTGTTGTTTCTGACTCAAGGTCTCACTGTGCAGTTTACACCAGCCTTGAACTTGTGTAGCCCAGGCTGACTCAGTCTCACTGCCATCCTCCTTCCTCTGCTCCCAGAGTGCTGGATCACAGGCTCGGGGCACCGTGTGGGGCCTGAGCTGCCCCTATCAGCTGCTGTGTGGAAGTGCACAGAGCCCAGCCGCCAGCCAGGTGCCAGCCAGGTGCCAGCCAGGCACCAGCCTGTGGCAGGACTGTCTTGGGCCTTTGCGCTGTCCACCTTCGCAGTGCAGAGCAGAGTTGACTCTGTCTTACAGTGAGGTTAGGTTGTGGTTTCTTGGCCACCGATGGGAATCCTAAGGAGGGGAAACCTTGCACTGCGCTAGCCCTGGCTTCACGTTTGCTGGGCGTTTCCTTCAGGGCTGAAGTCCTTAGGGTTGCTGCACTTTGCTCTTGAAAGCTGTAGATTGACTTCAGTAGGTGAGTCGCCCCCATTCTAAGTCTTCCCAAAAGGGCTGGCTGTCAGGGGATCATAGAGCTGTTCTCCAGGATTTTACCGTCTCCATCCGAACTCCTGTTTTGAGGCCCAAATTCGTGGAAGAAATGCCAGACACAAGGAAGCAAGGATCTG